GTTGCTGTAAATTTTTGTGTACAACTTGGATACTTGCATTCATTTTTTCTTGGTCCCTCATTCTTATGTACAGTTACATTGTATATATGTGTCAAAGTTTAATTAATCAATCTCCCATAAATGGACGCTGGGCTTGCTTTCATTCAGACTTTGCTATTTGCAACAATGCTTCAAGCGATGGCTTTGATTTAACTTATTTTGCATGTGTGCAGGTATGTGTGTAAAATAAAAACTCAGTGGAATTCCAGGATACGTGGGAAAATGCACTGCAAAAGTTGGTGAATGTCAGAAACTGTTCATGATAGATATCATTCCATTTTTTAGCTTCACTAGCATGTATGAGAAGCTATCTGTGACCCTATGGCCTTGTTAGAGGATATGTACTTTTGCCAAAATGATAGGAAAGACCCAATGTACTAGAATGGGCTAGGTTATGCTGTGGGTCCTGGTAACTCCTAGAGCTCAGTGGTGGAAAGAAAGAGGTTATGTATATTGCTCCCTGGAGTATTGGTGTAGGTAGGTGGGGTGGGGAGGCTGGCTCCTCCTAGTCACTTGGATACCCAGAGCAGCAGCCGCTGCTTGAAACTTGGAGGATTTCAGGCCATTAGAGAAATGTGTGTCCTGGAAGTACATGCATGTTTTTTGTTCACAACTTGGTTGACCTAAGCTTGTTTCATGGTCCTACTTCTTCAGAAAGTATCCAGCAGGAGAAAGGCCCAGTAAATAGCACTGTTGATGACCATACAAGGCACCCGCATCTAGTTTTATTTTGTGTTTTCATTTGTTATTTATTATTATTATTATTTTTTTTCTTTGGGGTCCTAGGGATTGAAGCTAGAAATGCTTTACCACTGAGCTATGTCCCCAGCCCTTTTTATTTTTTATTTCAAGACAAAATTTCACTAAGTTGCTCAAGCTGGCCTTGACTTTGAGATTCCTGCTTCAGTCTCAAGTAGCTAGGATTATACGCCTGTACCATGATGCCCTGTTGTTTTAGTTTACTTTGTGCTGCCACAACAAAACACCTGAGACTGCTGGCATAGTGATCATTCTCACAGTTCTGGAGGCTGGGAAGTTCATCAAGGCTCTGGCATCTGGTGTGGGCTCCGTTACTATGCCCTCACATGGCAGAGGGTGGGACGGCAAGGGACTCTGTCCTTACAGGCCAGAAGAATGAAAGAAGAAGCCACCTGGACTGGGGGCATTAATCCTTTCACATGGGCAGCACCCTGATGACCTGACCATCTTTGGTAGTCTCCACTTCAGACACTCGCGCTGGGGATTAAGTTTCCAACACATGGATTTTTACATTGTTTTAATTTGGCGACTTTACCTTAAGATTCAGTATCTGATAGGGCTTACTCTTGCCTTGTACTTTTAGCAGTTTATTTTAACGTTTGCAGTAAGTCCACAATATATGTGTGCTTGGTTTGAACAATTTTTGTTATAATTGTGTAAGATTTATGACCCACGAGAATGCAGCATAATCCCAGGACATGTGGAGAAGCAGTGGGTGGTATCGTTGGTGCTAGGGGTTGAACCCAGCACTTACAAATTGTGGTTAGCACTTGCTCTTCCTCAGCTCTTTTTCATTTGTTTTTCTTTTTTGTTTTTAACAAGCAGGGGTGAACAGCTGAGTTTGTTTTTCCCCTCTCAGTTCAACATGGTGCAAGGAGCAGGGCCCTCTGCAGGTGCTGGAGGAGGGAGTCTGGCAGCCTTTAAAACTCTACTTGACTATTGACCTGAATTCTTTTCTCCTGGAGAACTTTTTTTTTAATATTTATTTTTTAGTTGTAGTTGGACACACTATCTATCCATCTATTTATATTTATTTATTTATTTATTTTTATGTGGTGCTTAGGATCGAAACCAGGGCCCAGGGCCCAAGGCCTGTGCTCTACTGCTGAGCCACAAACCCAGCCCTCTCCTGGAGGACTTTTAACATTTTAGTAGTTAATTTGCTTTGGGGAGTTTTTCTTTTTTAACTTGCTCAGAGAAATTGAATTCAAATGAAAGTTCCTAATGTAATACACAGAATTTCTAAAGTGATAAGTGTCTTTTTGTATGCCAATGAGGTTGCTCAGTGTTGGTGCTCTTGCACTGCCTCCAGATGGGGACTGGCTGGCTTGGGAGTGGAAGTTGGAACTTTCAGCCTCACCCCCTGGCCTCCAAGAAGGGGAGAGTAACAATTGAATTGATCACTGGTGGCTGGTGAGTTCTTCCATCCTGCCTACCTAGTGGAGACTCCATAAAAACACAGGGCAGGTTCACAGAGCTTCAGGGCTGGTGAATGCTGCCAGGTGCTGGGAACATGGTGCACCCTAATTCCACAGGGATAGATGTTCCCTTAATTTTTATATCTTTATTTTTATTTGTTTATTTTTATGTGGTGCTGAGGATCGAACCCAGGTCCTCACTCTTGCAAGGCAAGTGCTCGACCGCTGAGCCACAACCCCAGCCCACCTTCATTTTTAGTTTTTTTGGTGCCGAGGTTTGAACCCAGGATTGCTTAACCAGTGAGCCACATCCCCAACCCTTTTTTATGCATCTCACCCAGTTGCTTAGGGCCTCGCTAAGTTGCTTTGAACTCGCAATCCTCCTGCCTCAGGTTTCTAATCCAAGTTCCTTGTTATTGACCTTTACATACTTCATCACGGTACCTCTTCATTTGACTGATCATCTGTAGCCTTTACAGTGTCCCTTGTAATAAACCAGTAAGCATAATAAAAGTTTGCTCTGAGTTCTGTGAGCCTTTCTAACCATTAAACTAGAGGAAGAGGTTATGGGAACCTCTGATTTAAAGCCATTTAGGAGTGCTGTAGACCTTTGGTTGGCATCTGAGTGGACAGTTTTGTGGCAGAGTGCCCTCACCCTAACTCTGGTTATAGTGTCAGAACTGACTCTTAGAACACTTTGCCACATCAGATTTGGTCAGTGTGGGAAAAGCCTGTGCATCTGGTATCAGAAGTTAGAGTGGAGAAAAGCACTCTTTCTCCAATGGTGTTAGTTATTAGCAGTGAGCAGATAGGGGCTCTCACTTGACCTTGGTTCTTCGAGTATTAATGTTACACAATTTAATGATTGGATAAGTCAAAACACCTTTCATGACTTTTAAATTTGCATTTCTCTGGAGTTGAATATTTTCCTCTATAATTTTGTGTGTGTGCAGATAGTTTGCACCTGGCTCCCATGTGTGTGTATGTGTTGGTATGTGGATTGAACCCAGGGCCTTGAACAGATAAGTGCCTTACCACTAAGCCACACGCCAAGCCCTTTTTTAAAATTTTGAGACAAGATATCCTTAAGTTGTCCAGGCTGGTTTCAAGGATGGGATCTTCCTGCCTCCGTCTCCCAAGTAGCTAGGCTTACAGACCTGTACCATTATGCTAGCAAGCTTTGGATGTTTTTAGTAATAATTACGTTAGTGTTTTTACTTAATTTATTGTTGAAATTATTCCACATTATTTGGGTGTTTTAGTAATTTTTAGTAAAGACGATTTAGAAATTAATATTTCTGAATTGCTAGCTAATTTCTCTGAAAAGGAAGCCTACTGATTAAAGTTTATTCTTTTTATCTTTAGCCTACTGACATTACCCAATGAGCTTGCTAATTAATGACTCTCAAGTGACTTGATCCTGGGCATCCTTCCCGCCCCCCATATTTCATTCTGGGGAAATATGAATTTAGGATGCCTACAATTCTTGTGTGCCTGTGTTGTAAGAAATGTTAATGGGCTCCCCCAGTTAAATAATACACGGATAGGTAGATTTGGAAGTTTCATATGCCCATTTACCCTGTTTAAACTCTAGTTTTTTTAATTTTGTTTTGTTTGATTTTGCAAGTTGTTGCTGATGGAACCCAGGGCCTTGCATAGGCTAGGTTAGCGCTCTACCACTAAACTACATCCCCTGCCCTGAACCATGTTCCTGTTGATAGTTTTATTAGATTCTGGTTTATTCTTTGTTTCTTTCTGATCAAATGAGCCAATACATGTCTATTTTCAGATTGCCAACCTTCCTCATGAACATAATGTACTATAGATGATGTTTAAAACACTAAAATACGTTAGTGTTTTTACTTAATGTATTGTTGAAATTATTCCACATTAGTTACATCTCATTTTTTTGTTTGCTTGTTTTACAGTTGTCTAGTACTCCATTGTGGGTTTTGCTGCATTCTCTGTGTTTGAACATTTGGGTCATTTTAATGTTTTGGGTTAAGTGCTAACTTAATGCTATAATGAGTAACCTAATTTAAATGTTTTTGCATTTTGTTTAAGTATTTATGTTTTAGAAGTAGTTGGACACAATACCTTTATTTACTTGTGAGGCCCTGGGTTTGATCCTCAACACTACTTAATGAGCGCCCTACCACTGAGACACAATCCCAGCCCCTGTTTTTGCATTGTTAAGGTTATTTTTTTTTTTAATTGAAAAGAGATTTTGAGGTCAAAAGATAGCCTTGTAGGTCTGTCAGAGGTTGCGAAATCCCCCTCAGCCAAGCTCCAACAGTTTCCATTCCCAACAGTAGCGCACGCTTGCCTGTTTCAGAGTGTCTTGTGCTTTCTCAGTTTGGCTAGTTTATTGATGATAAGTAGATGACAAATTATGTCTTATTGTAGTTTTAATTTGCTTCTCATCATGAAATTATGGAATTTTAATTTTTTAATTTACATTAAAAAAGGCGGCTTTATTGAGATAATTCATGTACCATACAACGCACCCATTTGAGGTGTACAGTCTAGTGGTTTTCAGTATGCTGCGACACCACATTGGTGCTTGCCGTTTACACACATGCGGAGTGCTGAGGGTGGACCCAGGGCCTCCTGCGGGCTGGGCACCTGCTCTGCCATTGAGACACATCCCCAGCCCATCATGCTCATATGATAATTTTGCCACCTAAAAAAGAAGCTCCATAATAACCATTTTTAGTCATCGTTTCTTTCCCCTGTTCCAGGTATTTTAAAATTAAATAATATTTGTTGTTTTCTTCCCTATAGAAGAAACTGCAAAGGAAATCCAAATTGCTTGGTTGGCATTGGTGAGCATATTTGGTTAGGAGAAATAGACGAAAATAGTTTTCATAACATCGATGATCCCAATTGTGAGAGAAGAAAAAAGGTAATGCCTCATTTTCTAAGTGATTGCTGTGTCACATTTCTGGGTTTTTGTTTTGCCTGTTATTAAAAGCATTTCAGACTTCATATTACCTCTTGCTTTAAGATAGCAATGGGACTTCGCGACTCTGAGCCACTCGAGTTGGACCAGTTCTGACGGTTATGCTTTCCAGAGGGAGCTGTGCGGTCCGTTCGCCTTTAGGAGTTTTAGTTTGAATATACATTCTCTCTTTGCTTAATTGAATGTTTTATTTAGAACTTTTTAAGGAACAAGCTCCTAGAAATGACATAACTTTGCTTTCTAGGGCTTATATTTAAGTTAGTTATTCTATGTATGTTTATATAAAACAGTTTTGCTTTAAAAAAAGATCAGTATTCCTAATCATAAAACTTGGCATTCACAAAATAGCTGTCATATAGCTGTTTTGTGTATTAAAAAGAATTCTGTGTAAAATTGGATTTTTCAGTCTTTGTAAAGAATAAGAGCCTGCTCCCTTCCCCCACTCCCAGTCTCCCATACCTCATCTCTAATCTCCAGGATGTCAAGGAACTGGTCTAGAAACTTTGTTGTCCTACTGAACTATGGCAGTTCAGGAGTACAGCAAATAGAAAGGGTATGTCACGCTCAGAGCTGACCTTTTCTGGACCCTGCTGCAGTACCTGGGTGTGAGTGGCTGGAGCAGTCCATGCCACCAGTCTCTTCCCCACCACAGAGGTTCCCTTAAGACTGCTTGCCACTAGCTACGGAGGCTCAAGATGGCTGTATACCGTGTTGGTTGGGGCAGTCTTAATTAATTGATCTGAAAAATTTAAAATAATGCTCCCTACAGACTTTTTGTTTAAAAGGGAATGAATTTCATGATCTTATTTTTGCAGAACTCGTTCGTGGGCCTGACGAACCTGGGAGCCACTTGTTACGTCAACACATTTCTTCAAGTGTGGTTTTTAAACTTGGAGCTGCGGCAGGCGTTGTACTTGTGTCCGAGCACCTGTAGTGACTACATAATGGGAGATGGTGTCCAAGAAGAGAAAGGTGGGTTGGGATTGGGAGGGGAGTGTGCCGGCCAGGGCCCTTCTGATCCAGCTGAAGGGAGTGAAACCAAATGATCAGTACATGGCAGGCGCCAGGCTCCGTGCTGGGTCCTATAGAAATGGAGTTGGAATTCAAGGTAGTTTCCCTCTCCCTCTCTTATGCAGAGATCATTTTGACATCAAAATGGTTACTGTTCCAATTAAGGAAGCATATTTGGTTATTCTTAGTAAGCTTAAATCTATAGATTTTCTGTGTAGTAGTCTGTGATTATAGTCTTTTAATTTGTAGTGATTTGTAAAAATTAGTAAGGCAGAAAAGGTTGTTATTCTGTTGCCTAGTTTGACAAACTTAATAAATATTTCAGTGTAACCACAGTCTTTGGGCCTCATTCCCAATTGGCTGACTTAAATTTAATCTTAATTTTAGAGAATTTCACTTATTAGCCATGGCAAAACCAACCACTGACATGCTACTGTCCTCGTTGTAAATTTGGCAGAATCAGTTTCAAACTATTTCTACTGGAACCACAAACTTATTTTCCTGCACAGTATATGAATTATTTTTGAATGGTATTGCTTTAATGCTTAGAGATTTCCTATTTGAGTTGGGGCTTTCTGAAATGAATTAGATTCTTCTCAAAGATGGAAGGTAGAGGTGTGTGTTTTAAAATTATGCAGGTCTGGGAGCTTCACACTGGGAACTTCCAACTCGTGCCTCCCAACTCCAAGACCTGTGCTATCGTTTCATTTTCTCTGAAAGAGGCGCATGGCCCAAGTCAGAAAGCAGGTTTCTTATGCCCATGACATCATGCAGCCCCGTAGGTAGTGGTAATAGTTTGGTCTTTGTTAATAGCAATCTTTGCTTCAAAACATGGTGCTCAAAAAATTCTTTAGGGGAAAAATAAAATTTTTTTTTTTTAAAGGTACCAGGGCTTGAATTCAGGGGTGCTTTAACACCCGGCCATATCCTGAACCCTTCTTTATATTTTACATAGTGTCTCACTCAGTTGCTTAGGGCCTAACTAAATTGCTGAGGTTGACTTTGAACTCCTGCTCCCCTTGCCTCAGCTTCCCAAGCTGCTGGGGGATTACCGGCATGTTCCACCACACCTAGCTCAAAAATTCTTTAGGACTTACGTTATAGATGAGTGGTAGTATTTGCCTAACAATCTTGGGTTTGATCCCTGCGCCAAAGAAAACAAAAAACAAAAAATTTCTAACAAAAATTACCAAAGTAATTTCTTCAAGGCTTCATTCCTGTAGTTGGATTTTCTTTTCTTTTTCTCCTTTTTTTTTAAATCTGGAGATTGAAAACAAGGTCACATCCCCAACCTTTTTTGAGACAGTCACCCTACTCCTGCTAAGGTGCTGAGAACTGGTCTGGAACTTGTGATCCTGCTGCCTCAGCCTCCTGAATAGATAACATGTGCCACGATACCTAGCTAGTTCTGCATCTTTAAATCTGTGTTCATAGTATTTTATTTGAAGTAGTGGTGTAAACTGGTACAGTGGCACATACCTGTAATCCCAGTGACACTGGGGGCTGAGGCAAGAGGATCACAAGTTCCAGGCCAGCCTCACCAACTTAATAGCCTCTTAGTAATTTAGTGAAATCCTGTCTTAAAAAAAACAAACAACGGGCATGGTGGCACATGCCTGTAGTCCCAGAGGCTGGGAAGGCTAAGACAGGAGGATCACAAGTTCAAAGCCAGCGTTAGCAAAAGTGAGGTACTAAGCAACTCAGATCCTGTCTCTAAATAAAATACAAAATAGAGGTGGGGATGTGGCATGTGGCTCAGTAGTTGAGTGCCCCTGAGTTTAATACCCGATACACCGCCCAGCACGGTGGCACATGCCTGTGATCCCAGCTACTTGGGAGGATGAGGCAGGATGATCACAAATTTAAGGCCAGTATGAGCCTCTTGGTGTGACCCTATCTCAAAAAGTAGGATTGGGGTTGTAGCTCAGTGATAGAGCATTCATTCCTGTATTCAGTTCCCAGCATCAGAGAATGAAAAACACAAAAACATTTGAAAATTCTGGAGTATGTTTGTGTATTTTTATGTATGAAACCAGTTCTATGTAGTTCAGACTGGTTTCCTACTTGTGATCCTCCTGTCTAAGCCTGTTCAGTAGCTGCACCAACCTGGGATTTGATCTTTTTTATTCAAATGAGCATTGTGTGTTTGAGGTTCTTTTAATTATTCCATTTGTGGCAAGTCCACATTAATGAGATTATTGGAAAGTGTTTGGCCATCATGTGCTGGTTTTTGATACAAGAATGGATGTCTCAATATGATTTGATACTCTAGAAAGTCGTCATTATTGGTGTTAGTGGTGTAACCATGTATACAGCCTCTTCCCTTAAAGTGTGTGTGTGTGTGTGTGTGTGTGTGTGTGTGTGTGTGTGTGTGTGTCTGTCTGTGTGTGTSGGAGGGGGKGGGGGGATGGGACCCAGGGGCTTCAGCCCTTTTTAATTTTTGAGGCAGGTTCTTATTTGCATCAGTTGCCCAAGTTGGCCTTGAACTTGCCATCCTCCAGCCTCAGTTTCCTAAATTGTTGGGATTATAGGCCTGCACCACGGTGTATAGTTTAAATGCAAGGGTGTTTAATTATGTACTCAAGTGGAAAGGAAGTAGGACTTTTAAAATAGAAAGTAGCAACTTTTAATAAATAAACTTCTTTTCAATAGATTATGAGCCTCAGACAATTTGTGAGCATTTGCAATACTTGTTTGCTTTATTGCAAAACAGTAATAGACGATACATTGATCCATCTGGATTTGTTAAAGCCTTAGGGTTGGACACTGGGCAACAGCAGGTAAGGACTTTATTTACTTTTTAATATTCTGAGAAATCTTTAAAAAAAAAAAGTGTTTTGTTTTTTGTTGTTGTTGTTGTTGTTATTGTTGTTACTGGGGATTAAACCCAGGGGCACTTAACCACTGAGCCACATCCCCAGTCCCCATTTTTATAATTTTTTTTAGAGACAAGGTCTTGCTGAGTTTCAGAGTGCCTTGCTGAGTTGCTGAGGCTGGCTTTGAACTCAAGATCCTCTTCCCTGAGCTTCCCAAGTCACTGGGATTATAGGCATGCACTACTGTACCTGTCTCTTAAGTGTTTTTTTACAATGCTTTTAAGGGAAGATGAATTAGGACATTTTAAAAAAATTAACTTGTGGGGTGGGGCCGGGGGGTATAGTTCAGTAGTAGAGCTCTTGCCTAACATGTATTAAGGCCCTGGGGTTGATTCCCAGTACTGCCAAAAAAATTACATATTCTTTTGTATTTTGAATTAATTCATCTGTTACATAATCCATTACATTGCACATTATAATTTCATTTCTGAAAATTCCCGTGTACAAACTGGTTCCACATGGGAGGTAGTTCTAGTTCAAAAGTACTAACTTGAAAATATCAGTAGTTTCTGGAAATTTTTTTACCATTTGTATTAGAGGTTGACAAGCAAAAATACAGTATTTCTTTTCATTAATCCAAACTTGTAGGATGCCCAAGAATTCTCAAAGCTTTTTATGTCCTTATTGGAAGATACTTTGTCTAAACAAAAGAATCCAGATGTGCGGAACATCGTGCAGCAGCAGTTCTGTGGGGAATATGCTTATGTAACTGTGTAAGTCTGTTTCAACTTCTCATGGTACATTTTCTCCTAAGACAGTTGCTTGTGTTATCTGGTTTTCACTTCAGGTCCCAGGTGTAGCTTTCATGGGTGATCATGGGACCTGGAATATTTATAGTCATATGCCTCCATGGGAACCCATAAGCAAACCACTTGATAATTGCATTTGAGCCATCCAGGTGTTGGGAACTGTAACTGGTTGGACTTTTGCCATTTGCTTTATGGCTGTGTGGAGTGAACCATGAGTAAAATGGGCTGGATAGAACACTCAGAGATGGACACTACCTCTCTAAAAATTTCCGATCATGCAATTCACGGCCTTACCACTTTTTGTTTTTATGTAATTTTTTAGTATGTGTTGTACAAAATTTCTATGAAAGAGAACTAATTAAGATACAATGCTTCTTTCCACCTTTCTACGATGTACTATAATAAAACATGATTGCTTTTCTCACTCTGATCTTAATTTTGTCACTCTCATTTTATTGTAGTTGCAATCAGTGTGGCAGAGAGTCAAAGCTTTTATCAAAGTTCTATGAACTGGAGTTAAATATCCAAGGCCACAAACAGTTAACAGATTGTATCTCAGAGTTTTTAAAGGTATTCACATTTTGGCATTTATTGTTTGTTTTTTAAATGATGTTCTGAATAGTATTTAAATGTATTATGTCAGCCTTTTTGATGTAAGAAGTTCTGTGATGATCTAAAACTTTTGATAAGGTACTGAAGCAGGCTGCATCTTAAAGTAATTTTTGGCTATTACAAGTCATGCATAGTATGTGTGTGTGATGGGGATATCTGAACTTTGTGACCATAAAATTGATTTACCTTTTCATGTCATGAGAATGAAAATGCATTAAATGCAAATATTTTTATATCAATGATTACTTACATGGAGATATAAAAGTGGTTCCCTTTTGTACTGAGTGGAAAACTAAGAGGAAACCTTTGTTACAATTATAAACACAGCTTATTGCATAACTAATTTTTCAAGTGCTTTACTTACTTGGCTGCCACATTTGTTAGCATGCCTGAAGTAATCATCTTTGATACTTTGTATCAAGCACTGTCTGAGCTGTTGGGAATGACAGTAGTGAACAAACCAGATACAGTTAGCCTTTATGGAACTGGCAGCTCAGAGCCATGAATACCAGAGAGGGTCAGGAAAATAAATTTAGGTAAGATATATTATAGTGTGTCAGATTATGCTGTGGATTGAGAACAGCAAGGAGTCTGGGGTATGGGGGTAGTAAGCCAAATAAATAAGCACAGGGAAAATGATAGAAAAAGAGTAATTGAGGTAGCTAAGGGTTGTAGCAGACAGACCGAGTAGAGAAGAGTAGACCCTTTTCAGGACTTTGGCTTTGAGATACAGGTGCCCTTGGGCTTATAAGCACAGGAGTGATACAGTGCATTTAACCAGACCATTGTAGGTGGGGTTTTGAGAATGGGGTGGAGGCAGGGGCCAGGGTTTGCTGAAGAGTTGATGATAAACACTATTTGGCTTTACGTACATATTCAAAGTAGAGCTAACAACACTTGAGCACTGAGTATGGAGAGAATGAGTCATGGATTACAAGGGTTTGTGGGCTGATCAGCTGGGGAATGGAGTTGTCATTATTGGGATGGGAGGACCAAGGTGGGAACAGGGCTGGGAAAGGAGCTAAGAGCATGGAGCTGGGGCTGTAGCTTAGGCAGAGAGTTAGCCTAGCAGGCACAGCCCCTGGTTTCTGCTCCCCCGAAAGAAAAGTTTTGACCTCATTAGATTTAAGAAGTGTAGTTCTGGGGAGAAGTCGCAGTGCGCAAAATCACTGAGGGAGTGGAGAAAGGTGAGGGAACCAGCTGAGCCACCAGGGGTGTAGTTAGAGGTGGGTGAGTGTGGTATCCTGGAAGGCAAGTGAGGAAAGGAAGGGCGTCAGTATTGTACTGATCTGTATCAAAGAGCTGTTATAGAAATGTATAGGAAAATTTGAAAAAGAAAAAGGGCTCAGTGGTTAAGCATGCCCCTGGGCTCAATCCGTAGAACAAAAAAGCAAAAGCAAAAACACCTCACTGAACCAAACTTTTTTTTTTTTTTTGCATTCTTGGCTTAATCTCATGAACCTGATTTAGTAATTTTAAGCAAATATATACCATTAAATATAATTTCTGCCCCCTTTTCACTATTTTTAAGTAAATTTGCATCAAAGTACATGGGACACTTAAAAAAAATTACCTAGATTTTTAAAATCACCCATTGGATATATAAGCACAGGTAAAACTAATATGTCATCATCTTGATCAGGAAGAAAAATTAGAAGGAGACAACCGATACTTTTGTGAAAATTGTCAAAGCAAACAGAATGCCACGAGGAAGATCCGGCTTCTTAGCCTTCCCTGCACTCTGAACTTGCAGCTGATGCGCTTTGTCTTTGACAGGTGAGAATGTGCATGTTGGAAGTGCATGGACTGAGACAGACTTGTCCTGGGCAGGATGATAAATGGGGGCAAGTGAAACTCTGGATTAGATTGTGGAAGTTACACGTGAAACCTGTGATTTCAAAGAGTTAGCATGTTATGATTTTATCATAAAATTCTTTAAGCCAATTATATGTAATCAAGAACTAGAAGATTAGGGAATCTTTTTTATCCTAAGAATTATTAGTAAAAACTGCAGTGAACTGAATCACCTGCATTCCTTATTACTGTCAATTTTAAGTAATTTTTTTTTACTTATTATAGTAACTTCTACTTCCATGAGGATATGTCTTTCATTTGTATTTAAAATCAAGGCAGTTTTGTACATATGCACATTTTATACTTTTCAATTTATATTTGGAATCAGTACTTTGCGTTGATACCTTTTTAATCTGTTAGTCATTGTTTATGCAATTATTGAATTGTACAGGCTTTTATGCAAGATTGCTAAACGAAACCTAGCTACTGTTGTTTATTAAAATGACTTGATAGAGCTTATTCATTGTCTTCTGAGTGTTTTAAATATAACTGGCTTTCCTCTTTATTAGGCAAACTGGACATAAAAAAAAGCTGAATACCTACATTGGCTTCTCAGAAATTTTGGATATGGAGCCTTATGTGGAACATAAAGGTAATATATTTACCAAGCAGTAAAAATTATGAGGGAGATTAGAGCTTGTAATCTATATTCTGATAAATATTGAGTAACAATTTACTGGTAATTTCTGTTTGCTAATCTGTCTGGGAACAGATGTTTTATGAGGTCAGACAAGATGTTAGTTTCCATTTTCTTTTTTTATTTACTTAATTATTATGTGGTGCTGAGAATTGGACCCAGTGCCTCATACATGGTAGGCAAGTGCTCTACTACTGTTCCACAACCCTAGTCCAGTTATTTCCATTTTCTGTGAGTAAGCACAGAGTAAACATTAGGTGTTTCATCAACACTGACATGATTAAAGGCAATTTAATTTGTAGCCAGGAATCACATCCTCTTGGGGGCCTGAGGCAGGCGGATGGTTAAGTTGAAATCTAGCCTGGACAACTTTGCAAGACCCCATGTCAAAATAACAAATCAGTGAGTGGTTGGTGGTAAAGCTTAGTGATGAGGTCTCCCAGTTCAATCCCCAGGACTGAGAAAAACAAATAATTTGGAAAAATGGAAAGGGTATTTTACTTATTTCTGAATCCATGCTTACTACCTTAGTCTGAATATTGTTGTCTGTGAGTCCTCATTAGAGTTTTATGCTTACTTTCACTTTTGTTTTCGATTTTGGTGCTAACAAGCACTATCTACACCCTCGGTCCTGTTCACATTTTGCTAAAAGAAAGAAAGAAAGAAACAAAACCTGCTTTATTAGAAATGTTATGTGGCGGGGTTGGGGATGTGGCTCAAGTGGTAGTGCACTCGCCGAGCATGTGTGAGGCACTGGGTTCGATTCTCAGCACCTCATAAAAATAAAATCAAGATATTGTGTCCACCTAAAACTAAAAAAATAAATATTAAAAAAGAAAAGAAACGTTATGTGACATAGTTCCAGTGTTTCTGCTGTAATTCCTCATCTTGTAACTGCTGACATGTCCTGGGTTGCTGTGTATAGTTTGAACAAGAACCAATTTTTGCTCCTTTTTCTGGGGAGGGTTCTATTTATTTTATCAGGCGGATGGTTTCTGTTAGAGAAAACATCTTATACTTTTGTTGCTCTTGCCTTGATTAGAAGGACCATTTTTCTTCTAACTTGTTCTTACTACTAATGTAATTTTAAAGCATTCAACAAATTCTCCTTTGCCCCCCAGAATATTGAGGCAGCTTAGAATAGAAATAAGCAGGAAAAAAAAAACTTTTAAAGAAATTGAAGTTTTGGGGAAGATTGTGTTGAATAAATAAATAAGCTTTCAGATATGATGCTTTGTCAATACTGTGGATTAAATTTTGCACATCCACAGAAGGAAATTGCTACAAGCATTGCTTCTTGGCCTCATTGTTGTTATATTCATTGAATGAATGAATGTGGCTCTGGATACTTCACCTAGTTTGCGTCTTGTCTCCATTCTTCAGGTTATTGTGTGGAATTAGGGAAGTCTGTTGGGTTATTGGCTTTTAGAGTCCAGAAATTGGTTGTGAAATCAATTTTGACTTGACTGACTATACCAGGAACGCTCTACAACTGAGCTGTACCCCTAACCCTTTTTATTTTTTGTTTTCACATTGTCTGTCTTAGTTGCCCAGGCTGTCCTTGAACTCTTGCTCTTCTTGCCTCTGCTTCCTGAGTAGCCAGGCTTATAGGTGTGCATCCCTGGATTCTATTTTTATTTTGTAGTGCTGGGGATGGAACCAGACTTCACTTAAGCTAGATGTATGTTCTTGTTCTGCCATCAAGGTAATTTCAGCCCCCCTTTCTGTTGGTCCCTACCCCCCAATTTCTTTCAAGCCAGAGACCGAACCCAGGGACACTTAGCAACTGAGCACATCCCCATTCCTTTTTTCTTTCTTTTTTTTTTTTTTTTGGAGACAGGGTCACTAGGTTGCTTTCTGCTTCATTAAATTGCTGAGGCTGGCTTTAAATCTGTGATTCTCCTGCTTCATCTTCCTGAGCTGCTGGGATTACAGGCATGTGCCACCACGCCTGGCCTCTTTTTCTGGTTCTTAATATATATTTTTTAGTTGTAAGTGGACACAATACCTTCATTTTACTTTTATGTGGTGCTCAGGATCAAACCCAGTGCCTCACACATGCTAGGTGAGCTGTCTACTACTTGAGCCAAAACTCCAGCCTTATTCTGATTTTTAATAAAGCATACGTTATCCTTTTTTTTCCCCTTTTTGTATTGGTTATTGAACCCAAGGGTGCTCCAACTCAGCTGTATCCCTAGTCCTTTATATTTTAACCTTGAGACAAAGTCTCACAAAGTTGCTGAGGGTATTCCTTGAGTTGTTAGGCATGTGAACCTCTTTTTCCAGCCTCGTAAATTATTGGGGTGACCGTTATGCACAACTGTGTTCAATCACTGCCAAAAAATTTTTGGCAGGGTCCAGGGTGGTAGGAATTGAACTCACTGGCACTTGACCACTGAGTCATATCTCCAGCCCCTATTTTGTAATTTATTTAGAGAACAGAGTCTCACTGAGTTGCTTACCACCTCCTGACTGAGCCTCCCAAGTCTCTGGTATTTTAGATGTTCGCCACCAAGCCTGGCTATTGCTAAAATTTTGATGCACACATATAGTGTTTTCTTGAATAAATCACATGTATAACATAAAGGCTGTGATTTGCTGGTTTTATTTTTTTAAAATGGCATCAGAATGTAAAAATCTTATGAAGAAATCTCGGTGCAGATTCACCATAATTCTCAATGTTTTCTCTTTTTTTTTCCTCCTGAATCAAAATTCTATTGGAACTTCTTGCTGTAGGATGAGAGATAGCATTGACCAAACAGTGTCATCTTATCTTTTCTAATTGTCTTGCCTACACATGTTTATATTTTATTTTTTTTCCAGCTTTACTGAAGCATAATGGAAAAATAAAATTGTATGACCTTAAGATATACTGTCTTATGATACATGTGTTTTGTGAAACTAATATTTAGCACCATGGAGTTAATTTACACGTCTCATCTCCCATGCTATTTGAGATCCCTAGAACTTAATCTTATCATAACTAGAAATTTGTACTCTTTGACCAATGGCTTGCCTGTTTTGAAAGCAAAATTTCTTAATTACTTCCCCCCAGTCTTTTTGTACATTTATCTTTTAATGATAGTCTTTTCATTTTACTATTACATCTGATTGTTGTGATTTTTAACCAATATTTGTAGCATGGAGAGTAGCAGCAGTTTTCTTTAAGTGTGTAGCACAGCTAGGCTGCTGGGTAACTTATCAACCGCACTGCTCAGAAGACATTGGTAGAATTTATAGAATTCTGTAATATCCACCGGTATAATTTATAGAGGGAATGGAGATCCCAAGGGCATGCTGTTAAGATGCTGTCTTCTACATTACTTTGTAAAACTAAAAAGTTGTTTTTTTTTTTTTAAATCTTAGGTGACATGCTTTGAATTTTGGTAGACTCAAGTTTGCATATAAGAAATATTGTTAGCTGACATTTCTTTATGTTCTCTCTCCTTCTGTAGGTGGGTCTTACGCCTATGAACTCAGTGCAGTCCTCATACACAGAGGAGTGAGTGCTTATTCCGGCCACTACATCGCCCATGTGAAAGATCCACAGTCTGGGGAATGGTATAAATTTAATGATGAAGATATTGAAAAGATGGAGGGGAAGAAATTACAACTAGGGATTGAGGAAGATCTAGGTAAAACCTTTAAGTTGTGAGTGCCCTTTTAAAATATAACTTATTTTTTTTTTGTAACTGGAAATATTTGTGATACATTATTATGGCCCAAGATTGTCGTGGACTATCAAGGATATCTGCATTGAAGTGTTTGCAAAATCACTGAAAGTTTTTCTTATTAATGTCTGCTTTTAAAAGAAAACTTGTTTTCCTGTAGAGATGGTTCCATAATATCATGTTTTCAGGAAAACTCAATAGCAAATAATTAATTTTTCTCTTACCAGGTTTATTTCATGGGGCAGGTGAGGATTGTGGGAATTAAGCTGAAAAAGATGAAGAGTATACTCGGTGTTGGAGGATTTGTTCTTTTCCTTGGGTCAAGATATTTAATTCTGGGAAAGAGGGCTTCATTCTTCGTGTCTCCTCTTCCCTGTTGAGTGTGTTGTCCCTCCTCAAGTGTGATGTGGTGCCTCTGGGAGCAGCTGCCTGGTGTTGTGCAGTGGCCAATCTGTGGAAAAAAGCTCCTTGCAGAGCTCTCCTTGTCTCCATTGTCTTTGGCCAAAGTACCCGTTTACTTCCCGAGTTGTGGACACCCTTTCCAGGTAGAGCCATCTCACCCGAGCGTTTCGACAACTTCCCCTCGTGTCATTTGGGTCAAGGAATCTGAACAGGAGAAAAGGAATGGGAGTAGGCCTGAGTCCCCTGCCACCACTGTTTAATGGGTTAGAGCCCGATTTCCTTGGTGTCCACAGGGAGGAGCATTGGCAGTTAGGGTGCTCCCAAGGCATGTGATTGTCTCTGTGTCCACTCAGGCTCCGACTACATTCTGGAGAAGGAATTTCTAACTTTAAATCACATTTACATGCTCATAGACTTTTAGCAATCTTCCTGTTTTACATAGGGAATACTCAGTTCTTAATAATCATTGTATATATTTTTAAATTTTCTTATTTTTTAGCTGTAGATGGACACAATACCTTTATTTATTCATGTGGTGCTGAGGATAGAATCCAGTACCTCACATGTACTAGGCAGGCACTCTACACTGAGCTATAAGCCCATCCCCCATTTATACTTTTTTTATTGTGGGATTCTTCCTGGGAACACAATTGAGTTATATCTTTGTAAGTATGTATGCCTCACTTTTCAGTGTTTTTTTTTTTTTTTTCTGAGAGAGAGAGAGAGAGAGAATTTTAATATTTATTTTTTAGTTTTCAGCAGACACAACCCTTTGTATGTGGTGCTGAGGATCGAACCCGGGCCACACGCATGCCAGGCGAGCGCGCTACCGCTTGAGCCATAACCCCAGCCCCTTCAGTGTGTTTTGTTTTGTTTTTTGATCCAGAGATTGAACCCAGTGGTACTTAACCACTGAGCTGAATCTCCAGTCCTTTTTAATTTTAATTTTGAGACTGGGTCTTGCTAAGTTGCTGAGGCTGGCATTGAACTTGGAATCTTCCTACCTTAACCACCCCAATTGCTGGGATTACAGGCATATGCCTTGGCACCCAGCTATTTGAGTCTTCATTAATACTCATTTTAGTCAGAGTTATAGGATTAAAAGTCCCTTTATGTTGTCCTATCTTCTACATGTAGGTAGTCCTAAAATGTTAGAAGGTAGCTCAGTGGTAGATCACTTATTTTAGCATGTGTGATAGATACTCTGGGTTCAATCCCTGGTGCACAAAAGGGAGAAAAAAAATGCCTTCAACATTCATAACTGTATTCCATCCTGAACTTGTTTGAGTTATTTTATATTCTGTGTTATAGAAGGTAATGATGTTCTTCAGGTGGAGATGAACATTTTTACTTTCCTCTGTGTGCTCCCTACAGTAGTATAGTGTTCTTCCAACTTTTTTACTCAGGTATTATGTGGAAGAATGGTGAACAACTTTTGTTTCCCTTTGCGTTTTTAAAAATCCTTCATTTTTCACCATAAATTTAAGTAGTTCTTAAGAACCTGCTATGGACTTTGAATGTTTTATTAGATTCATGTTAAAGTATCTTTGGAATTGTTTTTACAGTGCCCCAACCACAATGATAAACAAATAGACTGAGGGCATTCTAGTTAAGTCTTCTTCTGTTTTTTTCTACCTCAGCAGAACCTTCTAAGTCCCAGACCCGAAAACCAAAGTGTGGCAAAGGAACGCATTGCTCTCGAAATGCATACATGTTGGTTTATCGACTGCAGACACAAGAAAAGCCCAACACGATGGTTGAAGTTCCAGGTAATCCCTTTCCCTGGATCATACCAGGAATGTGTTTAGGAATGACATGATCAAAGGTTAATGATAAGCAGAGATTCCTTTAAAGTACTGAGCTTTTGAAATAAAGAGCCTTAGGACTGTTCCGTTACCTTCCCCACCCCCACTCCAAAGAAAGGCAGAAGCAGTCTTTAAACAATTACAAAGGTAATCAGGACTTTTGGTTTTATCTTGTTCAGTTTATAGAGCAAAGAGTTACTAACTGCCCAAGGCAGTCTTCTGTTGGCTTTCCTAGTTCTGTGCCAACCTCTGTGGCATCATCCGTTTCAAAGTGGTGTTTTTGAGTCATTTGGTGGTTCTAGGTGACTGGCATGTCATAGAGAAGTAGGTGGGGAGCAGGGGATATAGTTTAGTTGCTAGACTGCTTGCTTGGCATGTACAAGGCCCTGGGGAGTAATTACACACACACACACACACACACACACAAACACATGTAGTAGTAGTAGGTAGAAGGGGATTTTTCTAATGTTATTGACGGTTTCTACCAGAATGGGAGACCATAGTAGGAAGTTGTCTCCAAAACTTTAGCTGATACTTGATATCTTTATCCACATTACTACCTGAATTATAAAGGTTTTTTTTTGTCTTTTTGTTTTGAATAGCCTTTCTTCAAGAGCTGGTAGATCGGGATAATTCCAAGTTTGAGGAATGGTGTATTGAAATGGCTGAGATGCGTAAGCAAAGTGTGGATAAAGGAAAAGCAAAACACGAAGAGGTTAAGGAGCTGTACCAAAGGTTACCTGCTGGAGCTGGTCTGTAAGATATTCTAGGACAGCACTGTTGTCATTAAGTGCCTTGTGTTGTTTATGTTCACAAAAAATGTATCTGAGCAGACTTTTTCCTGCCCTTTCTATACCCCACTTAAGCAGTTTATACGTTTGAAATTACTATGTAAACCAGTAATAACATGATGTGTAGCATTCCCTACAGTTCTCATTAACATGTACTTTAAAATTGGGAAGCTGTTAATAAATTGTAAGGTGTAGGCCAGCACTTTGCAGGCGTGACTTCTGTAGATTTTTCCACTTGGTGAGATACGCATTTGTTTCTAAAAAATTATCTAATTGCATTACTCTGGAAGCAGTTTGTCTGGTTTTTTTCTTTGCATATTTTGTGCCCTAATAGTATTAATAGGCATATTTTTTATGAATATGATTTTTATAGTATTTGATTAACTTGAAATTTATTACCAAATGTTACAAGGGGGGTAGAATAGTTTTCTAGTTCATTGATTAGTGCACATAATCCAGCCATCCTTTTTTACTGTTTATCCAAATGTATGCAGTGTCTCAAAAAGGAAACCAACCTTTTGAAGGCTAACATGCCTTTGGTTATAAGTTATATTTGTCATTTCACAGACATGAGTTCCCCATATCTAATTGTAGCTGATGGAAGACAACTCGGTTCTAGGCAGCTTGCACTTATGGTTTTCTCTTTTTGATCTCTTAATTTTTCAATTACAGTTACACCTTTAAACAAAGATGATTACAAATTGCCTTAACAATAGCTTTTTAAAAATCTTTCTAGGGGCTAGGGTTTAGCTCAGTGGAAGAGCTCTTGCCTAGCATGCGCAAGCCCCTGGGTTCAATCCCCAGCACCTTAAAAAAAAAGTTCTTTTCAAACTGCTTCTTCATTTGATTCTGACCCTTCTTTGTAACCTGTTACTTGAACGCTGTTCGAGGGTTGGGATTATCCTAAAGAATTGGACTGATAATTCAACAGGAAATTATTTGGAAAGGAACCCATGATTCACACCTAAATTTATCCGCCTTGTTCAAAGGAGTTGGGACCTAGAAATCTGTTTTCTGAACTTGATTCACAGTTTCCTGAATTCTGCACAAGAGAAAAAGACTTCCTGGATCTAAAGTGACATGCTGTTGTGAGGGCTGGGGGTGTAGCTCAGTGGTAGACTGCTTACCTGGCTCGCAAGAGGCCCTGAGTTCGATTCCAGCACTAAACAAAGAAAAAAGAAAGAAAGAAAGAAATGCTGTGAATATTGTGAACCACTCTATAAACTATACAGTCCAAAGATGTTATATGTCAAATTATCACTGTGCTTCCCATGGCTGTTTTAGTTAGTGTATAAGAACCTGTGCTTATGTTTTTAGAGTATTTCTCCATGTTATCTATACTTTTATCAACTACAAGGTTTATATATATATTTTTTGTCCATTAGTAATAATTTGCATTGTGGGAAGTAACATTGTCCTTAAAATGATGTAAAAATCTCAAAGTCAGTGACCATGGTTTTGTGCTGCCAAAGTCTTCATTATGCATTTTCTAAATGTTTGTGAACATATTTTTTAAAGGGCCAATTATCCTAACATCTCTGAGGATATGAACCCTTTGGCTCTTGTTATTTAATTATTTAGTTTGAAACATACTTAAATTATTTCTAGGTAAAGTGTTTCAAATATTTTTGGTACTGTGACTGTTCAAATATCTTTGATACTGTGATTGTTCTAGGCTTGTATCTTTCCAAAAGAAAATTTGTTGCATTCCAAAAAAAATTTTTTTAAACTTTGGTTCAGAGGGGTTTTTTTGGGGTTTTGTTTTGTTATATCTCCCTTCAGTAAATGTTTTAACAGTTGCTCTTCTGGTTCAAGCACTGAGATGACATACAGTCTGGTATCCTCACCTTGACCATGAGAGTGGATTCCTTCCTGGGAGTTGGCTGCATGCCTTTGGAAGGCAATACTTTAGCAGTTGACTGAATGAAAAATACTAGGGGCCACCTTTGAGGGCTTTGCTACTGAGTCTTTTTTTAGGGAGAGAAACATTTGTAGTATAATAATTTTGCCACAAGCAAAGTCTGTCTTGTGTAAATAAGCCTTGTGCTATACCCCTGTTCTCAGGGACACTCTTGGAGAGATCCATACAGTTCTGAAAAATAAATTGAAAATGGAAAGACCTTGTGAACACAGCCACTCTTCTTTCATGGGTCCCCCAGCACACTAAAATGAAATCTGGAAAATGGCTGAGTTAATAATCAGTGTGGTGTTAGATCACTATGTGGACCCAGTTTCTGCTCTCTTCTGTTCTTACTATAAAACCATGCATACTTTTTATAAAATTTTGTATCTTATATTGACCTATTTAAAAGCTAGAACCATAAGCTTTGTTTGGAAGTTTTCAATAGGTCTCTAACAGGGGATTGGAAGATGTTAAAAGTACCTGCCTTTTTGACTCATAGGTGTTTAAGGTCATCGTGGGCCTGGATTCCAGCAGATACTTCCTGGGAAAGGAATTACATACACTTGAATTTTCCTATATTTCCTTTCCTTATAATGAGTAGTTTCTGATGGTTTTATTATTTCAATTGGCAAAGTAGACATTGCCCTCTCTTCACTCTCTCTAGCCTGGGTAGATCAGAACACCTAGTAAATTTTCTTGAATAGTTGCTCTGTATCATAATCTGATTTACCCTTCTTTGAGAGTCTTCAGATGACTCATAATTTTAATCTCTGTGATATACCTGGGGCGAGATTAGAGATGCTGAGCCTTTTATTTCCCTCTTAGTGGCTCATTTATCTTTACATTCTTGAGATATACCCAGTGTGCTCTGTCCTTGCAGGTTAAACTGCATAAATGACAAATAAAAAATTGGAGGTGTTTAGAAAATAATTGATCTTACCATGTTATAGGATGCCAGAACTATGTGACCTGTACCACATCTTAAGGTCTCCTGGTTTATATGTTGTGTGAATGCATAATTAACTTTTCTATATCTCTTTCCTTCCAAAAAGCTCAAAATGCTTCATATATCTTATCTTTTACACTCAACAACATCCCTGTGAGGTAGGTAGAAGGCAGGTATTATTACCTTCATTTTACAAATAAAAGACCTGAAGCATAGAGTTTAAGTGACTTGCTCAAGTTCAGTTTCTCATTGGCAGAACTTGGATTAGACTTTGGTCCCAACAGGAGGTCCTGTGCTCTTCCTCCAGTGCCCATCTTAGAGCCTCCCAGTTGAAAGCTCCTTGATGATATCCAGTTTTAGCTCAAATAGAGATCTGACAGTTCCACATTTTGATTTTGTAAAGACTGACAAGTCTACAGTGGGAGTTAGTTTTCTAGACATATAACTCTTAGAAGTGTAAAGTTGGTCAAAATAGCTTTGTATTGAAGCATATGTCCCTCAGATCACACCAAAAGTAGCATCTAATACAAACATGTGAATTCAACCTCTGTATGTTTTCTTCTATGTTTTATGCTGGGACTCACTGGAGACCTTTGTAAGTAATCAAAAGCTGTCCCTTTATTTTTAATTTTGACTTTTAGGGAATGCTGGGATTCCCTTTCTCCAAATTCAAATTCGTTTTGAGATGTTTGGTTTTAAATTTTTGCAACTGAAAAATTGATCATAATTCACTTCCAGTGTACTTTACCCTGGAACTTGTTTAAAATGTTACTTTCTTGAAATAATAATGAGATGAATGGATCATGACATGGATTTTGAAGGGGGATATAACTTTTTTTAATTGACACCAATATTATTTTGGATGCAGAAAAGTCAGTAGTTGCAATAGGCTTGTAAAATGCGGTTGTAACTGTCAAGGACGATAATTGCTAACTTGGAGCTCAGCCTTGTTTCTTTTTAAATTTTCAAATGTATATCACGCATTCGTGAAAAGTGTTTATAAAAGTAATTGATGAAATAAACATAGTGAGGGATGAAGTTGTGTGATTTATGAGCCAGTGTGGAGCATGACTTGTAGTTTCCACACAAGGGTGTCCTGATCAAAGCTCTGCTGTGCTATGAAGCAAGACACTTCTCTGTGTGGATGCGTCTTGTAGAATGGGGTTAATAATACCAGCCGATCTCATAGGGTGCTGTGCAGACACTGGCCCCTAAAGCAGAGGAGATGATTAATTGGGGCTTCGCCTTGCTCCTTAGACCACTCTGAGCAATGATCCTACTGATTTTGCTAACTTTGTACAGTGCATTGTCTTTTGAGGAAAGTGACTATATGTTTTAGTACAAACACTGTAAAAATACATAGTGTCTTTCTGTTGCTTTCTTCCTCAGAGCCATATGAGTTTGTCTCCCTGGAATGGCTTCAGAAGTGGCTGGATGAGTCGACACCCACCAAGCCTATTGATAATCATGCTTGCCTGTGCTCCCACGACAAGCTTCACCCTGACAAAATTTCAATTATGAAGAGAATATCTGAGTATGCTGCTGACATTTTCTACAGTAGATACGGAGGAGGCCCAAGACTAACTGGTAACTCCAGATATCTTTTCAGCATCTACAGTTCACGTGGGCCAGGCACCATGGTGCACGCCTATAATCCAAATGGCTTGGGAGGCCGAGCAGGAGAATTGCAAGTTCAAAGTCAACCCCAGCAAGGTTGTGAGGCCTTAAGTAACTTAGCAAAAATAAAAACAGGCTGGGGATGTGACTTAGTGGTCAGTCGCCCCTGACTGGTTCAATCCCTGGTATAGAAAAAAAGAAAAAGAGTGCATGTGGGCCTCATGAATTGGGGTCTGGTGATTTGACACAATTAGACCAAGTGTTCCTATAATTTGGAAGAAGGATTTGTGAAATAAAGTAGATGTTTAGCAGTGTTATTAGAGGAAGTTTATTTGATGCCCCCTCCGACCCCCACTGTACCAAGTAAACAAAATAGGACCCTTTAGAGAAAACTGTCTTGTGGTAGTTTGTGGGTTTCCATTATTCTCTTCAAAGTATTTGAAACTTTGGTCGATTCTATATCCCAGTCCTCCCAGGCTCTAGGGGATTTCTGACAGGCTGTGGAATGTACTCAGGCAACCATCTACGCTGCTGGTTGTTACTTAGTTTACGAGTAGTAAATGCTTGATTTTACCTTGAATGGTAGATCTCTGTATAGCCAGGTGTCTGTAACCTCTTGGTTCTGCTTACTTTCCTTGAAACATTTTATTTTCAGTGAAGAACTGGCAACACTGGTCCCTCTGGATTATAAAGGAGGCACAACATCCTCCCTCTTTCTGAAGTAAATGCTGTTTTCTGATTGTGTACAACTTTCTTTCCTTTTTTTTTTTTTTTGGTGCTGGGAATTGAATTGAAAACTCGACCTTTTCTGAATTTTATTTAGAGACAGGGTCTCACTGAGTTGCTTAGTGCCTTGCTTTTGCTGAGGCTGGCTTTGAACTCATGATCTTCCTGCCTCAGTCTCCTGAGCCGCTGGGATTATAGGTGTGCGCCACTGTGCCTGGCTATAAGTTACTCTTAACTGACATTTAGCTACAGACTTCAGTCCTTATATACACACCTGGAGTTTTGCTTTCTAAATTTCCATTCTAAATCTGGTGAAATTAATAAGCTGTTCAAAGGAACAAACAGCAATGGAAATGTCTTTCCATAGAATCACTTCATATGATTCCTTGAAGTTTTGCATATTTCAGTCAGGCCCTTTGTTTCTTTTTCCTTTAGTATTCTCTGCTTAGAGGATCACCTGGATACAAAGGTCCTTCTATTTATAGTTGTCAGATGTAATGACTTCCCGCAGCCTTAATTATTTGATTATCATCAAATTTGCATTTAAACCTTGTAATGTATTATACTTTGTTTTTAAGTAACTAGAGCAGACTAAAACATTTTGTCTCTTCTTATAGGTAACAGTTGCTGTCTTGAAACCTAAATCACCAAAGTAATTTAAGATATATACCCGTGTGCTATATTGCCAAAGTTTGTCATAGTTTAGAATCCCCCTGTTTATGAAGTGTCTACAGCCTTTTCCAAAGGAAGCGTGTGTGTAAATGAAGTGTTTCTTTTCACTCTTTCTCGCTTGCAGTGAAAGCCCTGTGTAAGGAATGTGTAGTTGAGCGCTGTCGTGTATTACGCCTGAAGAACCAGCTAAATGAAGATTACAAAACTGTTAATAATCTTCTAAAAGCAACAGTAAAGGGGTACGTTGCACAGCACATTGATCATGATAAACTGAAAATCTAGAAGTAATAACGAAACATCTTATTAAAAAGAGTTTGGGTTTTCTTTTCTTTCTTTTTTTTTAAAGAGAGAGTGAGAGAGGAGAGAGAGAGAATTTTTAATATTTATTTATAAGTTCTTGGCGGACACAACATCTTTGTTCGTATGTGGTGCTGAGAATTGAACCCGGGCTACACGCATGCCAGGCGAGCGTGCTACTGCTTGAGCCACATCCCCAGCCCAGAGTTTGGGTTTTCAAAAGAAGGTTGAAGTAGATGGCAAAACTAGATCAAAAGTTAAGTTGTGCAGTTATTAGTGGCCTAGTGACAACATGAGTGTCAAGTCAGCCGCTCTTTGCGGCTTCCATCCACTGGGGAGGAAGGAGCAGAATGTGGGTCTGAAGCCCTGTTGGGGTGGGGGCTGCTCAGTCCCCTTCTTCTGTGAAGCCTGTGAAGTGGCTGGCACTGAGCCCCTGTGGGAGGTTGAAGTAGGATGGCAATCACTGGAGCCCAGTGGGGCATCTCTTCAGAGAAGGTCAGCACATTGGAGTATGCTGGGCCCCACCTATAGGGCACCTTTGTGCTCAGGGACATCATTAATGGATGGAATTTTGATAATTTGAGAAATAAGTTAATTTCTCTCCAATGAGGATTAATATAGTTGACTATCTTGGGTCATTTCACAAACAGCCTGCTGAGTGATGTGCTATGGTGCAGGTGCAGGCGTAGTGGAGTTCTGCGCGGCAGCTAGAATGCACAGCTGTGTGAACAGGAGTAGAACCAAGTAAAGAATGTGCCTATGTAATTGGCTCAATTAGTATAAATGTAAATAGGAGGTAGGAGAAGTAGAATAGGATGGAAACAAGCTGTTGGATACCTGCAGGTCCGTGTAGTGAGGCCTGAGCTGGCCAAAATGAGGAGGTGGGTTAAGGAAAACTGCACCGCAGCTGATTTTGAATGTGATTCTTTTTGGTGTGGCCTTCACAGACCTAGAATGGAGGAGAACATTAGGATGATTCTAACATTCACTATGTTCCACAGCACTGATGGATTTTGGGTGGGGAAATCCTCCTTGCGGAGTTGGCGCCAGCTAGCGCTTGAGCAACTAGACGAACCAGATGGTGAAGCAGACCAAAGCAACGGGAAAGTGAACGGCAGCACCTTCAGTAAAGGTACCTCATTGTGAAATTGAACATGTCTGTTTATGGTAAAGTTGGTTTAATACCCATCTATGTAATTTCAAGACATTTTTTTTTTTATTCAATCTAAATATCTCAAAAAGAGGCAAGGGCAAATCAAAAGTTTGTTCTTGGTAGGTACTGGGGGTTGAACCCTGGGACCTTTTTCCATTGAGCTATATCCCACAGTCCTTTTTATTTTTTGTTTGGACACAGTCTCAATTACGTTGCCAAGGCTGGCCTCAAACTTGCAATCCTCCTTTCTCAGCCTTCCCAGTCACTGGGATTAAAGTTGTGTTCCACGGTGCTCAGATAAATAAGAGATCTGTCAACTTTTGAAAGTCAGCAGATTCCTTTCCATGTGGAATTCATTTATGACCAGTTATGCTTGACATTGGCCGAGCTCTAGGGAGTCTGTTGCATATTGCAGAGGCTTTATCAGCTCAGTACATTTTAGTTTCTGGTTTAGGTGCCACACTCATGGGTTGCCCTGGTCAAGAAAATGCACGTGAACTTGTGTGCTTTCCACTGGGAGAGAGGGCAGCTTTCAAATAGGTGCTTGCTTGTAAGTTCTTCAGAGACACCTGAGAAATCTGAAAATGTTTTCAAATACGAAATTGTGTAAACTGCAACCAAAACCATTAAATTTTATTTTTTAAACAGCACTTAGTACACAAAGGAAATTAAAGCATTGAAATTAATTTTAGGATTAAAATGGAGACTGGGGATTTGATAATATTCATCGAATTAGAGCTTAGTTACCCTAAGCCATAACCCCCACACAGGTTATTTTTTTTTTCTTTTATTGTATAGGGGTTTTAACTCAAGGCCTCCCATATGCTAGGCAAGTGCTCTACCACTGAGCAATATGCCCAGCCTCACTTAATTTCTCATTTCCTAATAAAACAAATATATTTGTTTTCATATACCTTAATATTCCATATAACTTAATATTCATAACCTTTTTTTTTAAATTGAAATATCTGGTGCTTTCTACGCTCAAGCATTTTATATTTTCTAACTTTATATTATTTATTTGGCACAGGTCATGCCATGTTACTATCATGTTTTTTAAGAAAATTAAACCACAGTAGTCATCATGAATCTTCAGCTCTCTGAGCTATCTTCTTGGTTGGGTTCCTGTGGTTGAGAGAGGGTCACCACTGAGCAATCCTGTCAGCCCCTTTTCTTTTGGTTAAAATATTTATAAATTTAACATTAATTTCAGGGGTCCCCCTGACCTTTTTGAAAAAGCAAGTTGTTTTAGAGGTATTGCCATGATAGTGTGTGCTGAGTGTTTGCTGTTTCTTTGAGCCTCGTTATATATCAATATCAATCTCTTCTTTTTTTAATTATTTTAATTTTTTTTAATTAGCTACACATGACAATGTCTTCGTTTTAAGTAAAGTGGGATGCCATAATAAAAAGCACAATGAAGGCTGGGGTTGTAACTCAGTGGCAGAACGCTTGCCTTGCATGTGTGAGGCACTGGGTTCAGTCCTTAGCGCCACATAAAAATAAACAACTAAAATAAAACATGCTGGCCATCTACAATTACAAAAGAAATAACAAAAAATAAAGTAAAAAGCACCTTGAATGTTGGCCTAGCTCAAAAATATTTTTCTGGTTGCATTCAAGATAATATGCTTCTCTCCTTTCCCAATTCAGAAAATTTAAAAGCTTGAAACAGCATAAATTTTAAAATGTTCTGCTTCAAAGCCCTCACACAAGACACAGTCACTGTAAATAGAGGTTTTTGTGTGGTGGTGGTGGTGGTGGTGGGGACTACCAGGGATTGAACTCAAGGCATTTGGCCATTGAGCCACATCCCCAGCCCTGCCTATTTTAAAATTTATTGGTTGAATTTCATGGAGTGAGTGTATTATATTTATTTACCCAATTCTGTATCAGCCTTTTATAATTAGTATGTAAAGATCAGAAGCAGTGAATTCTTGTACCTATATTTTTGTCACATTTTCAGATTATTTCTGAGATCAAATACAAGAAATTATTAGATTAGAAAATTGCTACCTAGTGGGCTAGGAATATAGTTCAGTTGATAGAGTGATTGCCTCACATGCATAAGGCCCTGGGTTCAATCAAAAAGAAAAGGAAGGGGCTGGGCTGTAGTTCAGTGGTCAAGCACTTCCCTCACATGTGTGAAGCACTGGGTTCGATCCTCAGCACCTCATAAAAATAAATAAAGATACTGTGTGTTCATCTACAACTAAATAAATATTAAAAAAATAAAATTAAGGAAAGAAAGAAAATTGCTACATATTGACACGTTGGTACATGTTAATGAGTCTCCTTCAGAAAGTATATAAAGATCTTGTTTCTATATTCTTTTTTCAATACAATATAGCAGTCACATTAATTTTTATAAGTCTGACATAAGAAAATGACTTAGAAGTGTTGAGGTTTATGTTTTTCAAAAATTATTGAGATTGACCATTTTCTCAGTGGGAAAAGTTAGTTACTCATATTTGTGTGTGACAACAGTTATCTGGTCACGTGTTTTGTTTGCCTGTCTCCCTCCCATTTCCCCTTCCTCCTCCCAACCTCTCTTCCTCTCTGTGTGTCCCCCGCCAGGGGGTGTGCGGTTCGTCTTGTTTTGTAGTACTATGGATGGGACCCAGGGGTGTTCCACCACTTAACTGCAGCCCTAGCACCCCACCCCATACCCCAAGCATTGAACCCAGGACCACTGAGCCACATCCCCAGCCCTTTTTAAATATTTTATTTTGAGATAGGGTCTCACTAAGTTGCCCATACTGACCTCAAAGTTATGATTCCTTTGCCTTATCTCCCACAGAGAACTCTGCCTGGTTCTGCTTGAGTTTTGTTTGTTTGTTTGTTTATTTCCTTTGCTTTTGTGCAGTGATTGGATCAAACCCAGGGCCATGCATGATAGGTAATCATTCTACCACACCACTACATCTGTAACCACATTAGAGGTGTTTGTTGGTTAGCAAGTGGTCTTTGCATGTGCAAAGAGTATTTTATTCTGATCCCCAATACTCAAGATTTCTTTATTCATCGTCCCAATGTACAACTATAAAATTTATTCTGAGTCTGCTTTAGAAATACAGATTTCATCAAGGACTATTTTTTTAAATATTTATTTTTAAGATTTGTTCTTTTTAGATACAATAACTATTAATTGGTAATGCTTTAGTGTGTAGGTAAAGCAGGAAAATCAGATACTGGAAGAGAAATGTTAACAGGAACAGCAAGCAGAATTTTTATAGTATGTTTGATGCTAAAGTTTTTATTTTGTTTGTGTTTGGAGCTTTCTTTTCAATCCATAAAAGAGTAGGTAGGTGAAAATGACATGTCATGAAGATGACTAACTTGGTATATAGCACAATATTCTGCAGACTTTAACTAGAATTAATAGGATATGTAAATTATTTTTCACATTGGAAGAAGGCACATTGTTTTGCATAACCTAAATCATTAAAAAGCTAACTGTCATTGACGTATTTTTCATTCCTTTTAAGGGAGAGAAATATAATACTTTTGAACAGAACTGTGTAGGAATTACTTGAATCTAATTTTCAAAATCATTTGAAGTTCTCTTTGTTCCAAATTGTGCGGAATAGCTTGTGTGCTGCTGTGAACTTTTAAGTCCAGCTGTGAGAGCAGTTACCTGTATTTCTTTTGATTAGATGAATCAAAGGAAGAAAGAAAAGAAGAGGAGGAGGAATTAAATTTTAATGAAGACATTTTGTGTCCACATGGTAAGCTGGAAGCATGTTAAACTGTTATTAGTTTGACCTTAGCCAATTGGAAATGTCTTCGTGATGTCCCCAACCTGTTCCAGGTACCAGGTCCAGTGCAGTAGTGTGCTGGATCTGAACCATGCTCAACACTAACGTTCTGTTCTCCTGCCTGGCTTGTCAGTCCTTCATGTCTTTTCTTAACCTTGCACAAAATATAATCTCCCGTTTCACCTGTATTTATAGGAAACCCTAGGGAGCAGACTTCTTGTCACCTAGTGATGTTAAAAACTTCTGAGTTTGGTAGGAAGACTGTTTACCATTTCTGCACCTTCATCCAATTTGATAGACACAATACCTTTATTTCACTTACTTATTTTTTATGTTGTGCAGAGTATTGAATCTAGTGCCTCACGCATGCGAGGCAAGTGCTCTGCCACTGAGCCCCAGCCCCGGCACTTGGATTTCCTCACTAAACCTTAGCTTTCTAAGTGAGCAACATTTTTATTTTTATTTGTGGCCCACATAACTAGGTGGGGGTCATTCTGGAGTGGTAATTGGGGACTCTCTGGATCCCCAGTCTCCAAGTCCTTCTCATTGGTCCACCTTGTTTCCCCATTTGTCCTTTTCACATTAGGCTACAGTAGGAGCACAGCTGTGCAGAGGAGGTGGCTTGAGTGGTGGCAGCATGGGTAGATAGTACGGGAAGGGAGAGCCAAAAAGAGACAGACTTTTCCAGTGGTGCTTCCACGTCAGTGTTGCTTCCACGTCATTGTTGCTCACCTCAGAGCCTGGGAGGGCGTCATGACCTGTGCCGAGAGCTGTGGCACATTTCAGGCTTCGTGCTGCCCAACTAAGCTGGCCACAGCAGAACAGCCTGCCACTTTCTCCTCGTCCTCCCCTCCCTTCCCACCTCTTGTCATGTCAGGGTCTGCAGATTGGTTAGAAAGTGAGGCAGGGCCCAGTGAGCTCAAGTGCCCCCTGCATAGTGTCTGCCCCTCAGCGCCCCTGCACTGCTCCTATCTTGAGCTTCCCCTGGAGCTCGGCGGCCCTAGGCAGTGCCATACTTGGCCATCTGATATTTCCACGGGATAGCTCCCAGAATTGAATAGACTTAATCCATTTTCTGACTTTTGTTTTTTAACCCCTCCTTCACTTTCACATGCCCTTGCTTTCTGGGTTGGGGGCAGACGGTTATGCACTACAGTGGATCTGAATGCTTCCCAATTTGCCGACTTAAAATTAATTTTTTTAAAAGTCTCATCCATCATCTTTTTAACCTTAAAAATTTTTGTTACTTCTGTTCTCTTCATTCATTGTTGTAGTTTTCCATATTTAAGAAAACCTCTTGAATGCTGTTTCAGGGGGCACTGAAGATAAACATGGTTTTGAAACCTGGCTTTGGGCTGGGGGTGCCCTCAGTGGGTGCATGTAGCACGCACAAGGCCCCGGGTCCCGCCCACGGACCCTCACGCATCAGTGTCTTGGATATTCTTGTGATCAGTTTGTTAGGTTTTGTTTCTTTTTTATTTTGAGTGTGGCAGGTATGGTCAATCAATGGATCTTCATTCCCCTGCGCTCTGGAGGGAGGAGCCTCCTACCTGCCTTAACTAATCTTGTTTATTATACCTCATTTGCTTCAAAGTTGTTTACTTCTTGTTTGGGGGCTTTTTCATTCCTCTTTGGATGTTCTTTGCCAGTGTTGTTATGGTATGAACTAGATTTTATGGGGTGGGAGTCTGTTTATCCAGAATCGAATCTCATTTTAAAGTCTACTCATATTTTTGCCAGAAGGATTTGAGTATTAGAATATCCAGTTATGTTTGCATCCCTCTCGACTAGTTTTATCTTATTGAGAGGTAGTATTTAAAGGTTGGAGTTCGGTAGGCATTTTCTTGAAATGTTACTTAAATGTTTTTTATTGCAGGCTACTAGTCTAATGTCTAAAACTTTGTATATTACATGGAAAAATTGATTGTGGTGAAGTTGTACACACTGTTCTAATTATACAATCAGTAGGTTAAATGAGAGGGCAGCAGAATTTTGGGTCCCATCTTGTCTCTGCAAGAGTTCTGTTTCTATTCTTCACACTTGAATAAATCCTACCCTTAAAAAAGAATATGTGTGTGTGTATATATGTATATGTGTAAATATATACATAAAGTTAAATTTAGAAACATGGCTAACTAGAGTGATTTTTGTATTTATCACCATTTAGACTACAGCAAATGACTTATTAAAATACTTTTTGGCCAGGCACAGTGGCTCACACCTATAATTCCAGTGACTCAGGAATCTGAGGCAGGAGGATCACAAGTTCAAGGTCAGCCTCAGCATCTTAGTGAGGCCCTAATAGCTAAGGAGACCTTGTTTCATTTTAAAATAATAATTAACAACAATATAAAGAAGACTTAGGATGTAGCACAGTCGTAAAGCTCTCCAGGGTTCAATCCCCAGTAACCACCAACCCCCCCAAATAAAAACTTCCACTAACTTTTGAATCACTAGCACTGCATAAAAATAAATAAATAAGATAAAAATTTCAGAGTCTACTATCAATTCCTATGAGCAACGCGTATGCTAGGCACATGCACTGCCTCTGAGCTACACACTAACCCTGTGCTGATTCACACCTTAAAGTGTGTGTGCATGCGCGCCATTGTTTCTTTTTTGAATCCGATAAGAGTATACCACAAAAATACAAAGAAAGAGTCCTTTTGGGGGTTTGGAGGGGGTGTCCGGGGGGCTGGTGCTGGGCTTAATCCCAGGACCTTAGGCTTGCCAGGCAAGTGCTCTCTCTCTTTTTTTTCTTTTTTTTTTTTAAGGAAAAGGGAACCTTGAAGTTCTTTCTGAATCAGGTTGTACAAGTCTATCTTTTTTTTTTTTTTTATTTTTTAGTTCTCGGCGGACACAACATCTTTGTTGGTATGTGGTGCTGAGGATCGAACCCGGGCTGCACGCATGCCAGGCGAGCGCGCTACCGCTTGAGCCACATCCCCAGCCCTGTACAAGTCTATCTTGATCTTTTTTTTTTTTAATTGTGTTGTGTGTCACTACAAGGGATGTACACCTTTTTTTTTTTTTTTTTTAAGAGAGAGAATTTTAATATTTTTTTTTTTTTAGTTTTCGGCGGACACAACATTTTTGTTTGTATGTGGTGCTGAGGATCGAACCCTGGCCGCACGTATGCCAGGCGAGTGTACTACCCCTTGAGTCCTTAATGATACCTGAGAATAAGGCATTTTGGAGTAAGTGATTTTAATCTCAAGAAGTTAAAATGAACAACCTTCTCAGAAAAATTTATAAAAATACATTATAATCTCATTTATTTCCTAATGAATTTATGAAAACAATCATCTTCTCCTGGGATTATTCAAAGCACAATAAGAAATGAGGGCTAGAAGTTGAGAAGGTGCGTTTTGAGGTGTTAGGATTGTGGGGTGTGGATGAGATAGACCTGTGTGGTTGGACTATGGTACGGTCACATTTCTGATCATCCCTCTGGATATTGCATGGTACACATTAGGTGTTTAGAAACTCACTGGCTTTATTACTCTTAATGCATGTATGGGTACCTTGCCAACAGGCACAGAGAAAAATGCTTTGGGAAACTTACATGTGCCTGAAGAGAAGTGTGGTTCACTAATTTGTCTCTTGGGAACCGCTGAAAGAATGGAAAACATCACCACAATTAGAGAGAAAGTCCCTGAAAAGCTAAATGTATCCAATGAAGTGGTAAACTGAGGAGGCTCTGCTAGGGTTTCAGGTTGCTATGACCTTGGCATTCCAGAGATCTGAGAAAATGTAGGTGTTCATGACTAGAGTCATTCTTGTTGTCTCATGGGATTTTGGAAAGTTGCAGTGGTCTGAAAATAAGTTGCAAATAGCAAATTAGAGCCAGACTGGAGATGGTTTCAGATTGATCAGTAGATTGCTTGCTTGAATTGGTAACTTAGACCATAGTTCTGTGAGGCCTGCCCAACCGTGACAACCATCATTTCAATGCAAGATGATTTCAGTAACTATCAAATGGTAGTCGATGAAGTCTCCAGGGAACAGTGTACAGACCTTTGAGTGTTGCATAGATGAAGTTCTGTGAATGTCGGGGCTCTGTTGTCCCTGCCCCGCCCAACCCCCTTTTACTGCTGCCTTAATGGCAGGGAGAAAGGTTCTTTTTTTTTTTTTTTTTTTTTTATTGGTTGTTCACAACATTACAAAGCTCATGACATATCATATTTCATACATTAGATTGAAGTGGGTTATGAACTCCCAATTGAGAAAGGTTCTAAAATGTATGATTCTTGCGTTATTTACTTGTTTTCTGTCTCTTGATTCTCCAACCACAAGCCTAGAATGAGGATTTAAAATCGGAGTCAGGGGTAGCTCTTTGAAAATTAAAGTGAAATAAAAAATCTAGAGGGTTTTTGTTTGTTTTTTGTTGCATGTATATGTGCCAATACCCAAAATGAATCAGATTTTTGCAAATAAAAAATAGGACATATGGATTTCTCTAAAGTCGAGGAGTTAGGAAACAGATTTTCTGGAATTTCTGAGATTTAAGAAATGAAAAATACATTTTTTATCTTTTTTTTGTTGTTGTTTGTTTGTTTGTTTGTTTTTAAACATCAGGGGAGTTGTGCATATCAGAAAATGAAAGAAGACTTGTTTCTAAAGAGGCTTGGAGCAAACTGCAACAGTACTTCCCGAAGGCTCCTGAGTTTCCAAGTTACAGAGAGTGCTGCTCCCAGTGCAAGGTACTGTGCTCTCCACTGACACAGAGGAGCGGCCCGCCCCGTGTCCCCCACCCTGTCCCCGGGGAAGTGGGGTGTGCTCCAGTGGGTGAGCAGAGGAGGCCTGCCAGGGCTGTCAGCAGAGACAGTTGATTGCTTCATTCTCTTTCAGATATTAGAAAGAGAAGGTGAAGAAAACGAAGCCTTACATAAGATGATTGCCAACGAGCAAAAGACTTCTCTTCCGAATCTCTTCCAGGACAAAAACCGACCATGTCTCAGTAACTGGCCAGAGGTATAACGCATGCCTTACACAGAAGCCTTTGCCAGGACCCAGTGCGTCTCACAGCCGCCCAGAGCTGCGCTCCCTCCCCTTGTGCAAGGCCCCGTCCGGGCTCTGGCATGCTGCTGCTGGGCAGGGGTTATTTCCATTTTACTGTAGAGTTTGAATTAAAAAACCCACATTGTACTTTGAGGGGTTTTTGTGAAAATGGGGTGAATTAATGTGTTCTTTTTGTGATTGGTTTTTTTTTTGTGTGTGTGTTCTAGGATACGGATGTCCTCTATATTGTGTCCCAGTTCTTTGTAGAAGAATGGCGGAAATTTGTTAGGTAGAAACCAGAAATTTCCTATTTTCTTTCTTGGAGCTGACTCGTGCTTTTTTAAGCATTCATGGTTTGTGTTTGTAGTACCATTCTTGGTTATTTTAATAGCATACACTGAAATTTTTCTTTTAAGTTAAATAATCTCAAGAAACATTGAATTACCAATTCCCCTTTTACATACATCTCTTAGTTTTAAATAATTATTCTTTAAGAAATCTTATGCCCATGAGGTATTTATCCTCTTTGTCTCTTCTGAATAGAAAGCCTACCAGATGCAGCCCTGTGTCATCAGTTGGGAACAGTGCCCTTCTATGTCCCCATGGGGGACTCATGTTTACATTTTCTTCTATGACCAAAGAAGATTCTAAACTGTGAGTTTCTTTTCTTCTTTTGATTCTCTATATGTAATGATTTAAAAAATATGCTCTAGAAACATCTCATTCAGTATAAGCAGTCTATAGTATTTTGGATGTTCTATAGAGTGAACACTTGTCTTTGATGAGACGGACAGACTACTCCCACAAGGCCGAGGTCACCTGGGCTGCTGTGTGCCCTGTACCCCTTCCTCGCCTGTCCTATTGACTAGACTTGTCCCCACTCTGTGTCCCCACTGCGCCAAGCTGCTGGTAACCAGCATGTGCCTCTAGCAGACATCTTTTCCAGAATCAGAATCAACATAGTCTTGGTTACAGTTGTTTTTCCTGCAGCTGCCAAGCTTCAGAGAACAGAGAGAGGATGGGGTTGTAGCAGCAGAGCAGAGCTGCAGAGCTGGCCATCTGGAATTCTAATGTTTCATACCAAAAAATTTCATTCTACTCCCCATGTGCCCCCAGAAGAACTCATCTGAGATTTTGGGTGTTGCCATTTATAAAATAATTTTTAATTAACTGTGTTAGAGAAGGTGGTGTGCCTCTAACATTGCCAGAAAGCCATGGGAGAACAAATTGAAAGACACCAATAAAATATTCCGGAGTTCGGTTTTAGCTCATTGTTGAGCATGTGCCAGCGTGATAAGGCCTGTGGTCAGTCATTTTCCCCAGGCCCCGAGGACTGTGCTGGATTGGAGTTTATTGCTCTTTAAAATTATTTAAAGGAACAGAGTGTGAATGTATGTTTTCTTCTGTGTTCTTCCCACTTCCTTCCTGCTCCTGTCATTGTAAATGCCAGACATTTAGGAAAATATCTCTTAATAATAAAATAGATAAATATATGCTACTGTCAGTTGTCAGTGTCAGAGGGCACATAATGCAAATATAATTGAAGGACCACATGCTTCCTGCTAGTCCTGCTTCTCCTTCTTGCCCTTCCTCTCTACTGATCACTGACCTAAATTTGAGGACTGTCTGTTTCGGAATGTATTTTTTTTTTTTTTCCCTTTAGTTGTAGATGGACACAATATCTTTATTTTATCTATTTTTTTAAAATGTGGTGCTGAGAATCAAACTCAGTGCCTCAGGCGTGTGAGGCAAGTTCCTTACCACTGAGCCCTAACCCTAGCCCTCAGAATATGTTCTTTTAACAAATAATACATGCAGATAGTAATGTCTTGTGTATTGAGGCCATTTTATAAAAATCATATTTATCATATTTATCCAGCTTGTGTTTTCTTTTAACCATATTGATTCATGTAATGTCCACCATTTACTTTGACTGAAGCTGTAACTATTTTGTATAAAAACCCTGCTTCATATCTTTCCCTTGGTTTCTCTGCCTTATGTGATAGTGTGGATGACTGTATTTTAGGAGGCCAGCGATCCTGTCATTTCCCTTACTCTCCTTGTATCTTCATGCATGTTGTGTTTTTTTGCACAGTATAGCTCTCATATGGCCCACCGAGTGGCAAATGATTCAAAAGCTCTTTGTTGTGGATCATGTAATTAAAATCACAAGAATCGAAGTGGGAGACGCAAACCCTTCAGAGAAACAGTATATTTCTGAGCCTAGTAAGTTTTCTTATCCTTTTTGGTTTTGATAGTCAAATGTCGATATTTTAAGGGGAAAGGAAAGACTACGTCAATAATTTATTCTACTAAAAATGATGACGATCCAGTGGCAGTTCAGACTACCTAGGTGGGGACTACTATGTAACAACTCATGTATGATTGATTATTTGAGGAGAGTAAATGGATTTCCTTATTGTCATCATTTGCATACAACAATTTAGTGGAAATCATTACTAATAGTCAGTAATGGGCAACTGGTCATTTAGAGACATGGTTTGGGGTCTTCGGGTATTGACTGGTGCCTCTTCGCCCACTTCTGCTTTTCTTCTCTTTAGAACTCTGTCCAGAATGCAGGGAGGGCCTGCTGTGCCAGCAGCAGAGGGACCTGCGTGAGTACACTCAAGCCACCATCTATGTCCACAAAGTTGTGGACAATAAAAAGGTACTGGTGCCCCCTGTGGCCATGGCTCATTGTGATCAGGCTTCCTTTGTATTTACACTGAGGATTGTTTGGGACTATACCAGTTTAGTACCAGTGCTGTTTGTAATCAGGCTTAAAATTGGAATTGTATATGGTCTTAGCTGGTTGTGAGTCTGTCGTGCATTTACTGAGCATCAGCTGAGGGCCAGGAAAGGTCTTGGTGCTGGGATGCAATGAAAAAGAAGCCCAATGAGAAGGTGAAGACTGAACTCCTAGATCCACCTGAAGACTTCACGAAGCAGTGAGCAGATGGGAGGAAATCTTGCAGGGTGGAGCGAGATGCCTGAGGACCGGAGGTTCCCTGTTCTAAAGGGAGAGACAGGAATGAAGGGACTGCTTGTGGGGGAGTCAACACCAGGAACTAGTTTCGAACAGTTGTTCCAGGCAAAGGAGGGCTGAAGCATGGAGCCTGGTGTTCTCAAGGAACAGCGACCGCCATCGTACCTAGATGAGTGCTGTCCACTAGAGTGCCTGGTGGCAGAGGGCAAGGTTCAGTGTGAGCTGCCCACACAGTGGCCATAGCCCTGTGCAGCTTTGGAGCGCCCAAAATGTGACTATTGTGTTGAGGAACCGGACTCTTGAGTTTAATTCATTTAAGTTTAAGCAGCCACATGGGGCTAGTGGGTACCATAGTCCTCACTGCTGTTTCCTAGTTAAAGTTGATTCCCAGGACAGACAGTGATAAGGAATGACAGACTGGTTTCTGTGTGAGTTTTCCATATGCTGTGGATTTGAGATTTTACTCTTAGATGTCAGTCACTAGAGAGTTTTATTCAAGATCATGGTATGATCCGATTTACAGTTTTAAAAGTCACCCTAGCCATTGTGTTTGGAATTGGTAAGGATGCAAGAGGACTGAGAAAAGGTAGAGTCTCAAGTGTTCCTCTGCAAGGGCAGATTGGATTCTAGAACATTTTACTTGTAATGATTAGGGATGGCCCTTGGGTAAATCCTGATCTGCATCTCTGGACTTCTCATTAATTCAATTCCAGAATTGGAGGATTGAAGACCTTAGAATACATATTTTTTTTTTTTTTAATATTTATTTTTTTTTTTTAGTTCTCGGCAGACACAACATCTTTGTTGGTATGTGGTGCTGAGGATCGAACCCGGGCCGCACGCACGCCAGGCGAGCGCGCTACCGCTTGAGCCACATCCCCAGCCCAGAATACATATTATTTGATGCTAGTTAGCACTTGTTTTAGAAGGGTAACTTATAAGTTATGCACTAGAATTGCTTCACAAGTTCAAGCAACGGCCTTCATTTCCAAATTGCTAAGAAAATGAAGTTAACGAATGTATACATCTCAACCCCCCCCCCAAGTTCCTTAAGCTTTTTGCAACTTTTAGTACATGTGTACATTGGAATTGAGCATAAAATAGTATCCGTTGTAGCATATGTTGCGTGTTTTGGCTTAATAGCTATCACTGATAGTGTTCTTCCAAAGAGCACTTTAAACACCCTCATTTTTCAGTTCTTAAGGATAATTTGGGCTCCTGGCACCTCAGTTTCAGGGCTTGAAAAGGCTTGACAATCAGTATCTAGCAAGGTATGTAGTGTTTTTGATCTTCTGCAAAATAGCATCATTGTAGAAGCTGATAGTAATACCTGCTTTATAGAGATGTCTGAAACTCACGGTGAGCATGTCAAATTGGAGAATAAGTCATAGGTTTAAAAAATTAATATTAAAAAGCACAGAGCACAGCAAGGGATTCTTGATCGACTCTTGTGTCTCTTGTCTCACCATGAGAAATATATCTTCTTGAAAAAGGTGGCCACTGGTCAGCGTGGCTTCCTCAGCTCTGACCCACTTCTCTTTGTGGTCTTCACACATTCAGGTGATGAAGGATGCCGCACCGGAGCTGAACGTGAGTAGTTCTGAAACAGAGGAGGACAAGGAAGAGGCCAAACCAGATGGAGAGAAAGATCCAGATTTTAATCAAGTATGTGTTGAAGCTGCTTTTCATCACACACATTCCACTGACCTCAAGAGAGCACTCCAAGCCCTGACTTCTCTCTGCCCTGTATGGGGCATTGGTTCTCACATAAAAACACGCGTGCGCATGCGCCATCCTTTCTTTTTTCTCATTTTGGTGGTTTGCTACAGCTGTCCTGATTTCCCATTAAAGCTGTGGCCCACACCTTCTTCCAGAATTAATACAGTTCTAACCATTGAGAGGGAAAGGCTGAAATGTAATGCAACGCATTCAGCCCTAAAAGAAGACATTTTAAAATAGGACCCATATATAGTGGTATGTTGCTTAGTTGTTGGGTTGTTCACGTATGAAGTGTTTATTTAACTTAGATTCTGATCCATTGAACAAAAGGAACAACAATGTGAACAATGGAGTGTGCAGAATGGACTGTCCTGTCTTCATCGAGGTGTTTAATGACTAGATCATCTGACACATTATGCTCTTGTTTGCCATTGTGAGCAATTTCTTCATCATGACGGACCGTTTTTTGTTAAGACTTCCTTTCCTACCTCTCCCCAGAGAAAGCTGAAGAACATTCCAGGGATTTGTTAAGGGCCGTGTAGGGCTGTGTAGCTTGGTTTCAGTTTTCAGGTCAGACAGCTATGTTCCCAGCATATTCTTAAATTTTTTCACCCGTGGAATTTCTATCCAGTTCCATTTTTAAAGAAGGAGACACCTTTAAAGATGAAATAGGGTATTCAAATTATGGATAGCATTCTCTGTGAAGTATTACAATAGCCACCTGCTGTGTGTCCTCTGAGCAGACACACCTGGGCTCATAGGCCACTGCTCCTCCCTTTTCCTCCCTGTTGACCAAGTCTTGGCCCTTAGCCTACCAGAGGTGAATGTTCCTTGTAGTTTCCCAAGGGGTGTAAAGGACATGTCAGAGTTTATTTTCACGGCTCATTGGAATCTCATAGACTAACCTTAAACCACCTCTGAAGGAACAGCTGTGCCTGCTGACAGCTCTAATGTTAAAAGTTCTTCTACAGAATTTTGAATTTTGAAATTGTCAACTTTGGCCTGCCCTTTACTTAAGTGCTAGCCAAATCCATGCTTTTCTAGCAATGTAAGTTTTTAGTTTGAAGGGGCTACTTTCCTATGATGGGTGATGCTCTTATTAAAATCTGTGTATATGTATGTGTGTGTCTTCTGTTCCTTGAGATTATATACACAAATTCTGCAGTAGGCCCACTCTGGGCTTTGGCTTTTCCTTTTCTGGTATTAGGGATTGAACCCAGGAGCATTCGAACACTAAGCTACACCCTAGCCCTTTTTATTTTTTATTTGGAGATCAGGTCTCACTAACTTGCTTCCTTGAATTGGAGAGCCTCCTGTCTCAGCCTCCTAAGTCACTGGGATTACAGGTGGGGCCACCACAGCTGCCGGTTATTTCTCTTGGTAGGAGTTTGCTAACCTGTTGTCACCCTTTCTTTTTGTCTTCATCTCCATATACAGTCAATCTTCTAAGTCACTTATCTCCAAAACAGATTGTTCGATTTTTTTAGTTGACATTGAAAATGAGCCCTGGGGGCTGGGGTTGTGGCTCAGAGGTAGAGTGCTTGCCTAGCATGCATGTGGCACTGGGTTTGATCCTCAGCACCACGTAAAATAAAAAGTAATGATATTTTGTCTTTATTGGAATGTGCAGAATTCCAATATCCACCTGTAAGTAAAAAATAAGTATATATATTAAAAAAAAAAACAACCCAGGACGCACCCCAGGACTACCTGTGCGTCAGGACTACCTGTGCGTCGTGATTCAGGACTGTGTCCTCTTCCATCTCTTCTTGCCAGGCAGTTTCTCACTAGCCTAGTTGGTGTCACTTAGTAGTCTGGTTCAATAATCAGTGGGAACTCTTTTGTTTTCCAATCTTTTATGGTCTGTTTTCACTGATTTTTTTCTCTGGTAAACTAGGTATGATCAATACATGTACTTATTGTTCTTAGTTTCTGTTATTTCGGGATTTACTTTTCAGCCTGAGTTGCTTAGAAACTACAATTTCAAGTCATTTAGATTTTGAAAGGCTGATTTTTTTTGAATGTCTAGTTTTATTCATTGTGGTCATAACCACAGCAATGCTTTTAAACTAGATGTGGAATTGCTCTCCTCAGTTGTGGATAACAACAGATTTTTCATTTATAAATATGATAGAGAATGTTGGAACGTTGCTTTTTGTGCTGTAATTATTTTTTTATACTTTATAATTTTCCTCTGTCTTCCTTCTCCTTGTTTGGATGTTGTAATACTCGAGAATGTTTAAATGTCTGACCGTCCTAGTTTGGGAAAAAGTGGATAGTCCCTGAAAAGTATCAGCGTGTTTCCAACTGCAGATAGCTTCTGTGATTGCCATCGTAAATCCTTGCAATAAAAAATGATGCATTTCTGTTTGTCCTTAGTGGAGTTGAACAAATCCCCTTCCTTCTTCTTTAAGCTTGATCAACCCAGTTCCTTTGATGTTATCTGAAATGTAGGTTAATAATACACTTGATGTTGACTGTCACTTAGGTAATCTGGAACAAGGGTACTGGCTTTTGTCAGTTAAGGTGGATATAAATTTTATGGATTTAAAAGGAAGATAATTCTAGAAGCTTTTAGACTATTTAAACCAGTATGTCATCAGTTTTTTAAAATGCTCAGGGCTTTGGTTTGGGGTTGTGTTTTGTGCTTCTAAAGTCAAATAATATATTGTTGTAGGTATTTTTCCTTATATTCTCAAGTGTGGAATTCAGGTTCAATTTGACACTCCCGCCCCCACCTCCAGCAGTTAAGATTGAGAAAAAATACTTTATCAAAACACCTCCCCCGTCCCCCTAAGTTCACTTATTTAATGAATCTTTAACTCATTTGTGTTTTTGTGCTGGGCAGAGGCAACCAAGGCTTCCTGAGCCCTGCTGATGTGCGGCTCCAGAACGCTATTCCTCTGTGTCCTGATCAACCTGGTGATGGACACGGGGCAGCTGTGTGCATAGTGACCCGTGACCGCCCTGCTTATTATAGTTATCACACAGTGGAAACTATGGCAGCCCTAGTTAGGGCCTTGGTGTTGATCCACCCAGACCTCCTAATCAGTCCAAAGAAAAGGATTTTTTAAAAATTCTGCTTTCATTCTCTAGTCTGGTTAATAGAAGAATCTTTGCCACATGTTAACCTCCTCTTCTTTTTTGTCTTCTCCACCCCCCCCCCTTTGGTAGGTAGTGGGAATTGAACCCAGCGGTGCTTAACTCCTGAGCCACATCCCCAGCCCTGGGGATTTTATTTTCAGGCAGGGTCTGTGCTTAGAGTCTCCCTAAGGTGCTAAGGCTGGCCTTAAATCCTCCTGCCTCAGCCTTCCCTGTGGCTGGGATTACAGGTGTGTACCACCATGCTGGCCATTAACCTCTTGATGATCATTTATAAGCATATTTTGGATGCCTGGGGTATAGCTCAGTGCTTGCTCAGCTTGTATGTGTCCTTGTTTGATCCCCAGCCCTGGGGAAATAAGGGCGGAGGGTGGATTTCTAGGACATTTGGCTCTTATTTTTTCTTTCTTCGGTAACTAGAGTCTGCATTAAACCCCATGTATGTCTGTACTTTATCACTGAACCTTTAAGTAATTCAAAACTGTCACTATATTTCACTTGTAAATGCTTAGTCCTGCGTATCCTAAAAGTAATGTCGGTGTTCTATATAATACTAGTAATATGCTCATAAGAAGGAAGTTAGCAGAATGCTCCAATTATATAATACCCATACTTGAATATGTCTGTTTTTTAAACCAGTGTGCAATCCCAGTATGCATGGTTTTGTGTCGCCATGGGCTGTTATCGCTGTCCTGTCATCCCTGTCCCCTTTCTGCCCTCTTTGATGTTGACTTTCAGACCAGTTTGATTTTCTGTAGATTTTTCCATGTTCTGGATTTGACTGATGGCCTCCTTATTCTTTTTTAACTCTTTTGCCTATGCCTTACATTCCAATTACTCTTAGTTTGTAGTTGGGTCTGAGTATTTGATTACATTTGGTTTCAACTGTTTCCATGGTGGGAGGAGGACAATTGGAATTGAACCCAGTGTTGCCTTTGAACTAGGTCCACAGCCCTTTATCGTTTTTATTTTGAGACAGGGTCTCTCTAAGTTGCCTCGACTGGCTCAAGCTTGGGATCCTCCTGCCCCAGTCTCTGGAGTTAGTGGGTTTACACAGCTAGCCACTCGGGGAATTTCTGCTTCTTTATTATTCTGAATTTATTTGGATGGTTAAGGGACCAGTAAGCCCAAAGATTTTTTGTTTGCTTAAAGAGCTTTATAAGCAAAGGTCACATTGTGGATGATTTCAGGAATTCCTTTGTTTTGGATTCTATTGTAGAGTAATGGAGGAACCAAGCGGCAGAAGATATCACATCAGAATTACATAGCCTATCAAAAGCAAGTCATCCGGCGGAGCATGCGACATAGAAAAGTTCGTGGCGAGAAAGCTCTAATCGTTTCTGCTAATCAAACATTAAAAGAATTGAAAATTCAGGTGAGGAAATCTAACATTTGTTCAACTGTGCTCTGGACTTAAGAGACCTTTATGAATTCTTGCTTCATGCCTATGTTCATACATGTATCTGTTTACTTTCAATTTGACCTTTTAAACACCTTTCTGCTTATATAGTATTAAGCCATTGAGAGAGCAGGGCTTTTTTTATTTCAAAATAATATCCCCAAATCAAAAGACTCAAAATAACGTTTTCAAAATAACGAAGAATCCTTCTATGAAGGTGAGAGTGATTTTTTTTTTTTTTTTAATAAAGACTAAATCCTTGAACAAGCTCTGAGTAGCTTTCCAACAGTGATAATTGTTCATTTCCTTTAAAGTGTCATGTGTCTTATTTGGCCTGTTACCAAAATCTGTGACATTTACGGGTTACAAAAGATATCCACTGGCTAACCTGTTTGCTAGGATGAGTTGGAAGTTCTTTTATCAGTACGTTTGGCAGAAAAGTCTACTTGGTAGAATTTTATGTTATCTTTAGATTTTTTTTTCTTTTTTTCCCACCTTTATTTTTTGTACCTGGGATTGAACCCAGGGCCACTGAGCCACATCCTCAGCCATTTTTATGTTTTTATTTTGAGACAGGATCTCACTACGTTCCTGAGGCTGCTTTACTTGTGACACTTCTTCCCTAGCTTCCCAAGTTGCTGGGATTACAGGCGAGCGCTCCCCTGCTAGAGTCTTGACCTTTATATAGTAGTGTTTTCAAATTCTGGGTAGAGGCTCACTCAGGTCTCCCCCTCCATCCTGCATGGCTCGAAGGTCAGTGGTGGCAGTGTAGGCTCTATGAAAGCGCCTGTGACAGCCTTCCACTTGGCGTCAGTGCTAAGTATTCTTCCCGAGCATTCTGATGATATATCCCAAAATCTAGGCACAAGGAGCTGATGCATTCAAGATGTCCATGAAAAAAAAAAATCTGGCCTCGATCTGTTTCAGTCGCTGCTTCATATTCAAAACGTTGACCGAGTTCCCCTCTCTGTTACTTTTATGTGGCGTAGTTTACTGGTTACGCATTTTTCTTGTTGCTGATATTTATCGTTGTAATTGAGGCAAAAGTACAGGCTTCCTTTGAGGGTGTTATGTGTTCCAGATTGTCTTGAACAGTATTTCCCTTGGTTGAACCCACGGCTCTGAAAATAAACGTGTTGGCATGAGATCTTTACTCTGTGATTGTGCCCTTCACATCTGAGCAGGCTTGTTTCCCTCGCCTGCTCTCTGGATGTCAGCGGTAAACCTCGAACATTCAGAACCTTTCAATTACAAAAAGGGCCCCTGTGGATAAGGACGTTTTAAAAGCCTGTGCTGTTCTTATTGTGGACTGCTGTTTTTGAAGAATAAATCAGAAGCCAACAGAAATAACCACTCCTGGGAGCAGGAGCATGGTACCTGGTCTGATGAGCTGTGGAAGGCAGCAGCTATTGAGATTAAAACCCCAGACGTGCTTTCCTTGGGTGCTTCCTCTGCAGCAGCTCTTTTTGATTTCCTCTCACATCCAGGATCGCTGTGAATCAGAACTGAAAGAGAACAGTGGGATGTGATTTGTTGGGCTCAGTGACGCACACCCATGATCCCAGCAACTCAGGAGGCTGAGGCAGGAGGGTCGAAATCTAAAGCCTGTCTCAGCAACTTAACGAGATCCTAAGCAATTTGTTAAGACCTTTCCTGGGGTGTAGAGGATTGCTTAAGTGCCCCTGTGTTTAATCCCCAGTACCAAAAAGAAGGATATAATTCCTTTTTAAATTATATTTAGTTTTCTTACAACACTACAAATGGAACCCAATGCCTTCAGTCGGCTAAGCAGGGACTCTGCACTGAGCTACATCCACAGTCCTCATTTTTAAGTGTTTGATAGAACTCTCCTTTGGGAATACTGTGTTTCATCCTGTTAACTAATATGATGACAACCCCTAATGACTATCTCCCAAATTAACAAGTGAATTACAACTCATAGACAGAACACGTGGAGCGTAACCTTCGAATTCTCTCTTTAAAAAACCCCTGTTTCTCCTTTGCTAGCAAAGCAATAAATATTACTTTTTCTTGTTTCACACACAAAAAGTTCTTTGCAAACTAAATGTTTAATCTTATATATATGCACCAAAAACAATTAGTTGATTTACCCCAATTACTAATTTGCCCACAACCTGTCTGTAATGTAAACTAAATGAAGTATAATTTGTTCCCTTCCTGAGAAGGTGCTCAGTGTTTTATTGCATTATTTTGTTTTTGTGGAGCCTGGGGATCAAATCCACGATCAAACGCTTGCTAGGCCTGTGCTCTACCAATGAGCTATACCACGAGCCCCATGTTTTCTTATTTTATTCTTCAGCGAGTGGTTTCCTCTGATTAAAGAAGAGGAGCATTAGCTGGGCACAGTGGGGCATGCGTGTAATCCCAGTGGCTCTTGAGTCTGAGGCAAGAAGATCTCAGGTTCAAATGCAGTCTTAGCAACTTAGCAAGACCCTGTCTCAAAAAATAAAAGGCCTGGGGATATAGCCCAGTGGTCAAGCCTCTAGGTTTCATCCTATACTTACTTGGGAGTGGGGCAGTGCTGGTTCACTGTTGAGTGCATTAAACATTCTTGTCCATGTCCTCAGAACTCTAAGCATGGGCGGAGCCCCTCTGTACTAGTGCCTTGGGTCTGGGGAGCCTTGGTCTCACAGGGTGACGTACAGACCTGAGGCACTGGGGGAGAGAAGAGCATCCCTGCATTGCAGTGGCTGTCACCCTCCCCACACTAAGATGGCCTTTTGCACATCTCCTTGGTAGCTCTGCTTGGGTCTCCACGGCTCTCCTCGAGTGCCCTATGCCGACTGCGGGGCTGGCTTGGTGGAGCTGTCCACTCAGTGCTTCTTGCACAGTAGAAACAGGTTTATTGCTCATGAAGGTCTTTGATGCCATACACTTGGCATTGTAGCTACAGGTCCCTGTGTGGCTTTCAGGGGCTCAGTCTCTGGAGAAGTCCAGATAAGAATGTGGCCCAACAGCTGGGAGAAGACTGGCTTGTGCTGCCTGTTCTTATTTATGTGTGTGCCATTATTAAAAGAACTTCTGAGCCAGGCACAGTGGCACTCACCTGTAATACCAGCAGTTCAGGTGGAGGAGGGAGCAAGATTGCAAGTTCAAAGCCAGCCTCAGCAAAAACGAGGCGCTAAGCAACTCAGTGAGACCCTGTCTCTAAATAAAACATAAAATAGAGCTGGGGATGTGGCTCAGTGTTCAGTTACCCCTGAGTTCAATCCCTGTCCTGTGTCCACCCCCGTACCCTTCACACAGCAACTTGTGGTCACCATTGATATGCTGGAGAAGCTCACGGGCTGTGCTATTCATTAAACCAGTTCAGGCTGCTGTGTTGGACTTGGTTTTGCAAGGTTTTAAAAACCCTTTATGCTTAAGTCATTCAGAATTTAACACTCGGCCAGAGTTGGTGGGTCATGTATGGCCCCTGCCTTCAAGGAATTCATGTTTTGGGTCCTAGAGACATGACTTAGCCTAAGAATGTCTGATAGTCCCAGGGCTGACTTTGTCACCAGTCTGTTGCTGAAGAAGTACAAACAGAAGGGAGAAAAATCCAAACAGGTTGCTGGGAAATTTACAGATGGTTTTAAGGAAGAACTTGGACTTGACTTGTTGGGGCAGTGATGTGGGGCCTAGCATGGCAGGAGGACAGTGACGACCCAGCCCATGCCCATAGCCAGAGCGCCCAGCCCTCCTTCACCTCACTAGGTCTGTGTCCCCAGCCTCCAGGAGCAGTAAGGTCCAGGAAGAACCAAAGGGTCTGGGTGTGTGACTGTTCCCCAGCTTCCTCCTGGGCTTGCGAGGCTGCTCTTGGCCTTGGAGGGATTCCTGGGCTCAGCAGGAGAGTAGCAGCGGGCTGGCTGCAAACAATTGGGTCTTTGGGACTCTGCAATCTTTTTAATTGTAACTTTAGAATCTGTGCTTCATTTATTCACAGTAGATGTGGGCTCTGTGTTTTGCTTTATTCAGACTTTGTTTCTTCTGTGTTGACACAGATCATGCACGCATTTTCAGTTGCTCCTTTTGACCAGAATTTGTCAATCGATGGAAAGGTTTTAAGTGACGACTGTGCCACCCTGGGGACCCTTGGTGTCATTCCTGAGTCTGTGATTTTATTAAAGGTAGGTAACAGCTCTACAACTAAGGAGCTCTGGGTGTTTCTTTCATTTATTTATTTATTTTAGTTGTAGATGGACATAATGTCTTTATTTATTAGTTATTTATTTGGTGCTGAGAATCGAACCCAGTGCTTCACTCTTGGGCCATCCCTTAACCACTGAGCCACAACCCCAGCCCCAGGAGCTGTGGGTTAAAGGACACATGCGATGGTGGTTAAAGCCGTCTTGTGCCTCCTGGGAGTGGGGGGGCCATGGGGCATTATCTTATTTTTGGATGTCACAGTAGTGGTGTCTCAACAGCCCCTGCCCATACCATAAGCCCCTCCTGATTCATTTTTAAGAAAAATATTGAAAACCTCATTGAAGACAGGAGGGGCTTGTATAATTTTTGTGTAACATAATATTTGCATTCATCCTTCTCCCTGACCTTTCACCTGCCTTCTGGGTTCACAGATCGACAACCATTTTGTGAACCCAACCCCTCTGATTTTGTTTCCAGAGAACAAGTTGAGGATCCCTTATCTGAATCTCTTGGGACCAAAAGTTGCTTGGATTTCAGGGATTTTCTGTATTTTGTTTGTTTTTCCCTTCAAATACTCAAATATTTGCACATACACATGTCTAAACATTAAATTCATTTTTGATTTATTTGTATGTTATACTTGGAGCTGATTTAATGTAATGGTATCGTGCATCTGTGTTTTCCCCAACCCATCATATGATGTCAGGTATTGGGATTTTTCACTTGTGGCAGGAATTGTGTCATGGCCCAGAAGTTCTGGGTTTGTGGGCGTTTGTGGGCGTTGTGTATTTTAGATAATGGGGCTCACCTGGTGCCATCCGGTTAAGCTTAGGCAGCACACGGAGGCACACGTCTCTGGCTCAGAAGCCCAAATGCCCAAGTGGCCTCATGGGATTCTTGTTCTGGGCATGGCTTTGCATTCAGTGGCTCTTGGAGACATTTGAGACTGCAGGGGCCTCTGAGCCCTCACTGGTCCCGTCTCCCCTCCCCAAGGGACTTATTTTGTGCCTTCCCTTTTCTTCTTGTTTCTTGGTGGCTAAAAGGACCTTCTCTGTATCAAATGACACGTTGACACATGTAGAATGAGTTCTCAGGTGCTTTTTGTACCCAGGTCTCAATTCTGATGTGATAGGTTAGCCCTGGCAGGATGACGCCCACCTGTGCTCATTCCTGACCCCCCCAACTCCCCCAGTGTACTGTTTGCTGTACAGTCTGTGGAATGGAGTTGAGAACCTGTTAGGTTGGTGAGTCCTAATGCTCTTGCATAGACTTCTAACAACCCCTTTTATGGAGGGTCTATGCTTGCAGGCGGGCAGCTGGAGACTGTACTGGTCATTGGCATCTTTACCCTTAGAGCTAATCTCATTCTCAGCTTGACATCAGTGTGGGCTCTGCCTTAATACAGAAGTCAGAATTTTGTTCTTGATGGTAAAGAGGAGGAAAAAATGTCATCATACCCTAATTGGTATTTTGAGAGGTCGCTTCTAAGTTTTTATTTCTCCCTAAGTCTTAGTGCCTCCACTGGGGTCTTTTTTTTTTTTTATTTTTTTTTTATTTTTTAGTTCTCTGTGGACACAACATCTTTGTTGGTATGTGGTGCTGAGGATCGAACCCAGGCCGCACGCATGCCAGGCGAGCGCGCTACCGCTTGAGCCACATCCCCAGCCCATCCACTGGGGTCTTAACTCATGACGATTACAATGGTTTTTAGTAACCTCAGGGCACCTGGACATTTAGACCTTTCTACCTCCAGAGTTGTTTTGGGAGGGAGAAAACAGCACCAACCCCTGCCCAACAATACACTACTTTGAGGTGACAAGTCTCAACCCACAGTTAGCAGGCCATTGCTGGCTGTGACTTGAGGTGCGCTGTCTCCTGGACAGTTTATCTATATTCACCATTTTTGCAGCCTGCAGGGCAGGCGTCTGGATCCCAGGACATGGGTGTGTTGCACCCCCACCCCTGCAGCTCTCAGTTGTCTCCTTTGTTTTCCAGGCGGATGAACCAATTGCAGATTATGCTGCAATGGATGATGTCATGCAAGGTAAAGACGAGTCCTTTGAGGAGTCTTGGTGAAGGTCAGGGGCTGGGACCCCGGTTGCCAAAGCTCTAGTGCACAATGCTTTCACTTTTCACCTTGAAAAAAGTTTCCACGTGTTTTTATGGTAGAATTGTACACTATTAGTTTTAGTTGATGGTAGAAAGGGAAAAAAAAAAGTATGTCCACAAATGTGGAAAGCACAAGGAAGAGGAGTCATCCAGCAAACCCGAGGAACCATAGTATGCGTGAGCCAGCAGGTGACCAGACAGGTGCCCCGGAGCGGGGGGGTTGGAAAAGGATGAACAGAAGTGCAACAGACCCTTCCCCACACACACTCTTATCACCCTCCCTTCAAGTAGCTGCCACCGTCCCTGCCCAACCTGTACCTCAGGACAGCAATCTGGAGTTTGAGTTTCTGCATTTTGAAGAAATAAAGCTTAGAAGGTGGGAACAGTGTCTAATGCAGCAAGCTGCAGGCCAAGCCCAGCTCTGCTCTCATGCCAGCAGTCCATCTCCTGCCTCCGCAAGGAGGCCAGGCACTTTCCCTCCAGGGGAGCTGCCCAATTCAAGGACAGACCCTTCAGAGGTAAAAAGCTGGTTCATCTCCAGGGCATCTGCTAGTGGCGCCCACCGGTGTCCCAACATAGCCTCAGGCACTTTTACAGTAACTCCATCTGCAGCAGATAGAAGTGGCCACCAGGCAGTGAAAGACTCAGAGCTGGAGCCAAGAGATGTCAGCCAGCCAAAAAAGGAACTAGTTCAGGGAGCATGAGAAAGCTTAAAACTCACCTACAAATAGTATAAAGAAAATGAGCAGAAACCCACTGGGCCCTGAATATTAAAAGAGACATTCGGAGAACAGAAAAGAATTAAACGAGAAGGAATTTGAGGCCAGGTATGGTGGCATATGCCTGTAATCCCAGTACGTTGGGAGGCTGAGGCAGGAGGAATGTGAGTTCAAAGCCAGCCTCAGCAAAAGTTAGGGGTTAAGCAACTCAAACTCTGTCTCTAAGTAAAATACAAAATAAGGCTGGGGGTGGGGCTCAGTAGTGAACTACCTCTGAGTTCAATCCCGTACAAAAAAAGAAAAAAAAAAAAGGAGGAGGAGAAATTTGACAGTGGAAGTGTTAAAACGTGGACCCAACTAGAAGATGTTCTGGAAGAGTTGTTCTGCAGCAGGCAGTGAGGGCCCCCAGCCTGGCATATGGGGTTGGGATGAGACATGCACTTGGGGCAAAGGGTATCCACTAGAAAAGACAGGTGGTAGTGACAGCCTCGAAGAGACTTCTGGGTCTTTTCAGAATTTACATTCAACTTGGCTTGGGAGTATGGCCCAGTAGCAGGGCACTTGCCTATCATGCTTGAGGTCCTGGGTCCATACCTGCACTGCCCAAAAATTTTTTAAAAATAAAATAAAACAGTCGATAAAATGAAATACAGGAATGGTGCCGGGGTTAGCAGGCCCAGAAAGACAGCCACACAGAGAACCAGACAATTAGAACACCAAGGCATCAACTCAGAAATGACCTCCGCATTGAGGCTGGCTGCGCAGGGAGCGCCACTGTGTCAGCAGGCTGGGTGGGCGTGAGAGGTGGTAGAAGGGCTAATTTTTTTCCCCTTTGAAGAAGATTCAGATGTTATATGAAATAACAATATAAAGCAGTTGTTTAGAAACAAGGAGGCTCAATGCCAGAACACGCCACAGGAGTCGACAGTGGCTTCTTCTAGAACTTGGGGGGGGGGGGTTGAGACATAGCTCCCAGGGAGTCGGTCACCGTCTTCCCCAGGCCACTCATTGGGTCCTCCAGAATGGGACCCTGACTTCTACTAGTGTTTGACTTTTAAAATAGTGCATGTGTATTGGTTTGCAAAAAATAAAAACAGAAAGATCACCGTCAGATGAGTGTCATCCATAAGTTCTGAAGCAGTCACTTGCAGGTGACTGAGGTGATTAAAAGTTATTTTAGACTTTTCATCTTGAGGCGTTGAAATCATCTCGTTGCTATCTGACACGACAGTCGTTTCACTTTGGAATTCTTTTTTTTCCCCCTCTCCAGTTTGTATGCCAGAAGAAGGGTTTAAAGGTAAGTTACATTTGTCATGTTTTGTGCATGAATGTCAGAGTCAGACTGTAATTTTCTATTAAAGTGAAGGCTATAATTTGATTTTAAAATTTAATCCAAGTCTAGTCTCATGACTGGAATTAATTTTAGTTAAAAGCATTTTTATTCCGGCTTCTTGGCCTGCACTGAGTCCCCTGTGCCTTCGTGGGAAGTCAGGGGTGACCTGGTGGCGCTTCCCCACTCCTTCTGTTAATCCCATCTTAGAGCAGGATCGTCCGGAGTAGAGAGGTACTAGAGCTTGCTGAGCGAGATCAGCCCCAGCGGAAAGGTTGCTCTATTCCATGCAGAGTTCAGGCATTGGCTGGGTTGTGTCTCCTCCTACACCTTGGCCACTGTAGTTATGCACCCATAATACTCACGAATGCATCAAATACAGACGCTTGACGTTTACAGATTTAACTGTTGCCATGTTGATTCTTTGCCTGCCACTCTAGAGGTCCAGAGCATGTTTTACCAAGAAATAAGTTTAAATCTGTTCCAGGGGCTCTTTGGTAAACTCTTGGCCTAGGCTGAAAATCTGCCTCTCCATGTAGCTTTATTGTGTCCTTGTTACCACTACAGAGGAACTTGTGGTGGTTCAAGCAAAAAATTTTCTTTAGGAAAAATGACCATAAAATAAATGAAAGCTTCAGTAAAATCTGATGAACTTGTATGAAGATACACGTAGGAAACACAGGGCTTTCCACAGAACTAGGACTTGCCCAAAAGTCTGCTGATAACTTTTCTTAGCCTTCAGTGCCAAGCCATGTTCATATTAAGTTAGAAGTTCACTGTTGACGCGTTCTTGGCAGCGGGACTATATGAACTCGGTGTCTTGGTCACAGCTATACCTGCAACTGTGTTTCTTTCCTCAGGTACTGGTCTACTTGGACATTAATCTTTGAACACTTGCAGACACCAAGAAATGACCAGAGGGGAAGAGGAATTTGACTTTAGGGCATTAAAGAAAAGGTGGATTTAAGGATTAAACCATTACATGACTCTTCCAAAAGGCAAAATCCATCTAAAAGCGACTGTCCCAAATGCCTTATGTCAAATAAAGCAGATTGCACTGATGGACATCAAACTTAAAGGAAATGTTTCAAATTTTATATTTAAGGGGGGCGGTGGCAGGGAGGGGTGAGGAAAGACTGAACAAGTTTAGTAGCCGTAACAGTAAATCATGTTTACAAAGGAGATCTGTAGTCAAGGCGGGAATGAAGTTCTCTTCTACTTCTTGCTCAAGTTCCATGCAGATGCGCTGGTCCAGAAAGGATTTGTGTCACAGTAGATGGGACAACATTCTGCTCAAGTGATTCTTTAGAGACGTAACCTGCTTATCAATACCTGTCTTTGACTCCTATCGTACTTTCAATAAAGCATGAAAGTGAAGAACTTGCCGTCATTGTGGAGAAGTGTCTTCAGATTTAGACGCCCCTCGGGCCAGCGCAAGCCCACCAGCTGGTGGTCTTTCCCAGTGTTGGTCAAGTAGAGGCAGCTGCATGTGACCTGCAGTGAGCAAGGGACTGTCTGTTGGCCTCGGGGGCTTTTTGCCTTAGTGCATTTCAGAAAGCAAGGAGAAGGGTTCTTCCGGGCAGTGGCAGCTTCCTCCAGCATTGCTGTTACTCCCATGTGGGAAGTCAGATATTCCTTGTGCATTTGAAAAATCTCACCACCACCTTATCAGAAGAGTAAGTTGTACTGAAGTACATTTGGTAACACAGGTTGTTAGAAAATATGTTCTTCTCCAAGTCTGCTGTTTCTCGAAGCATTCTCCTGAAACACCCTGAAAGGATCTTTGTAAGTCACTTTGAGCAAAGGCAAAACAAATGAGAGTGTAGATGGGGTGTCCTGTTTTATCCAACTCAGAATTATTGTGACTAGCAACAAATAATCAAAGCAATATACTGAAGAATGATGAAGAATTTTTAGATGAAACCTCAGACTAGAGTTTGTTTCTTTAAAAAAAAAAAAGTTTTCTCTGTGTGTGTGTGATTGTGTGTGTGTGTGTGTTTGTGGCTGAGTTGCTGACGCAGGTCTCTTGCATTTTTTGGCCTCAAGTTTGTGCCAGGCCTCTCCCCACTCCCTTCCCCGCCTTCCCCTCTGTTGAAAATCAGAATTTAAATAATGGATGGGGAGGCAGATTTCAGCTTGAGTACCAATCCTGAGCAGCATCCATGTGAAGAGCTTTTCACGAGGGTAATTATGGGGTTGGTGGAATCGGGGCTTGGTGTTCCCCTCTGTGTGTGCAGTGTGTTCAGTCTGTGCCCCCAGAAGGCGGGGGTGCTTAATGAGCCAGTGGGGTGCGGGAGCCCTGCGCAGCTCCCTCAGCACCCATCCTGGGGCAGCCTAGAGGGCCTCTGGGCAGGATTGAGGTTGAGCCTGTGCATAGCTAATCCTGGTTTTTAGGTCTCAGTCTTTTATTTGGCTCCAAATAAATGAAGGTGGTGCCTAGAAGTCATAACAAAGAAATGTATTCTTCCCCGAGGTAAATTGGGCTGAAGGTCAGTAGTGCTTGGTGGAGTGGCTTGCTTTTCTTTACAGAGAAGCTTGTTTGGGGGCCGGGGTGTCAGTAGTAGAGCATTCACCTAGCGTGAGCAAGGCCCAGGGAGGTTCATTTGGGGACCAACATGGACGGGTCAGCACCATAGAAACCAATTTTTCCCAATTTGATGTTGATACCAGTTTTCAGTTTTTTCCCTTAAGATGTTTTGCTTGCTTTTCTTTCACGCAGTGCAGGTGGCCTCAGTGCAGAGTGAGCTGGTGATGCTCCAGGAGTGTCTCCTCGGGTTCTTTCTTAAGCTCTGACACTATGCCAGGGTTCCCAGCACTGATCAGAATCTCATCGGGGCCTGGCAACAGCAGCCCAGGAGCCCAGGCCTCAGAACCACTGAGTCAGGTCTGCACCCGCAGAACTCAGAGAGCGCCTGGCCTGAGGCTTCTCTTCTCCCTAGATGATCCATGAGGTGAACTTTCTGGCTCCCCTGCCTCCTACTCACTTTGTGTGGGGAAGCAGGTACAAGGTGATAATCTAAAGCCAATCTGCTTGCATGTCAGATCAGGCCCCATAACAGCAATCGGGGGCTCAAGGTCCCCCCCCCCCCACATTTCTGACCATTTAATCCCAGGAGGACGTGTACCATCCTGTGCTGGCACAGGTTGTTGCCACTATCTGAAGGTGGCTTACAATTTGGGCATCTTTCCTTCCTGGGGGAATGTCTGTGTTTAGGAGCCTTGTTGTTTAGAATTCTGCCAAAGTAACACGCCATGAGAGTGTCTTTCTATGCAGTCATCGCCCTGCACAGAGTCTCAGTCCTGTCAGATGGCCACTTGCTCAGTTTGTGAAGTCAAGAATCTGCTCAATCAGATCCTGCTTAATGTTAGAAACTAATACTCAGATTGAATAACCTGTTTTAAATACCCAAGGGATGACTTATCTGTCTCAACAAACTGTTAAAGCAAACTGAACAGGGAAGCCTGTCTTTCCTGTCACAGGCTTGAGGGAAGAGGGTCACATGAGTGCTCAGCCTGTTCAGTGTACGGGGCACTGAGAACAGGGTGCAGGCCAATGAGAAGTGTCACTTTCATCTTAAGGATCTTGCCCTTGGGCCTGCAGCTACCCCTGCCCCTTCTGCCACACGGATGGGCAGAATGTTGGCCTCGACATTATTGGAGCCCTTATTCATTAAGTTCCAAATTAACATTTGCAGAATAATGGTAACTAATTTGAACAACTAGTTCACTGAGCAGCAGTTCTGTGCCCGGGACAGCCCAGCCCAGAGACCAAAAGCACACCTCTCCATTGGACATGACCCAAACTGGGTGACTCTTCCAGGCCAGCAGTGGAGTCCCTTCGTCTGAGGGTCCACCAGATCTTCGAACAGCAAGCGCAGCATTTAGGAGGTGTTGAAAAGAGTGTTAAAAATTGGGTCACCTCTGTCCCAAGTCAGTTAGCCATTTATCTTGTAACCAAGAGAAGTTACTGGAACAGGCAGCAATCACTGCCTCCTACACCAAGGATTAAGCAGTAATCAATATTGTTGGTTTAAAATGCTTTTTTTATTATTATTATTCTTTGCAATTAGACATTTCTTCAGAAATGTGGGACCCTTCTTTCCCCCTGCAAGTCTGTATAAAGAGGCCTTGAGCCACAGCCCACGAGGTCCCTAGCCCCTCTCACGCCCTACTGTTGGACTGCACTGGAGCCCTTCAGCTGGGGATGGTGGGCAGGGTTCAGTCTTCCTGTTGTTTAGAACTTTCACTGTGGCCCACATAAAACAAAGGACAGTGGCCAACAGCTTCAGACCCTGTTTACGTGCAGGATCCTGTCCAGGTATTCAAAACACGGTTAGAATGTTTGTTGAAGATTTATGCCTTTTGTGAGAGTTTTCTCTGCGGGCACCTTCAGTTTTTTTTTTTTGTTACAAGAAATCAGGAGCAGATGCCTCTAGCCTCAGGGGCAGCAAAAAGCAATGCAGAAGACCAGGCCAGGGACCAGCCAGATGCTACTTCCTGTCTTGAGATTTTCACTGTTGAGATGTGGCTTAGTGAATCACACTGTCCAGGAGCAGAGGACTCTGAACAGGTCTTTCCTATGTGCTTCCCCTCCCCCAACAAGCACACCTCAGAACCAGTTCTGTCAGCTGCACACTGCCAACCATGCCACATACTTCCTAAGTTCCTCTTCTGAGCGCCACTAAATTTTAGGAAAGAAGAGGTTGCCAGGCATTGTATGAACTTGAGGTGACATAGGTCTGCTCTTAGAATTGGGACCTGGACCAAGTCTTTGCTATGTCATGCAATGGAGGTGAAACCAAGTTTCCTGCCTAGGTGGCTGCTCCTGCAGGCACTCCACCCCACAACCCAGATGGCTCCTTGGCCTTCCTCACACCACACTGGTGCAGGAGGCTGTCCGAATTCCCCTAGGAGCTTGTCCAGCATAAATACTGTGTTAATCCCAAACAAAGGACATCATCTGCCTCCCAGCATGCTCAAAAAAGGAAAGGGGGAAAATCCTGCTTTTAAGGGCTAAGACTTTGTAGGCCAGGGCCTGTGGAGTGACCCTGCTGCTGGGTGGGGGTGGGGCACCAGCAGAGTGGCTTCATAGTCCTGCTAAGCCAGGAGGGCCCTGGGCTATAGGAGGTGGGGACACTCCAGGGAAGCCCTAGGCCTCAGCAGCCCCTGGCTGGATTGGAACACTGCCCCTTGCACTTTGGCCACTCTCAATTCTGTCTGCCCCCAGCCTGACTTTATTTTGTAACCAAGGAAACCCCAAGCTGCTGCTGGCAACCAGCTCCTTTTATGACAAGTCTGTTCCCCTTTGAGCCTCTGTCCTCTCTGCAAGGGAGTGGGGATGTGCAGAAGTCAAGTGGAAGCTCCATGGGAGGAGCTGTGGGTCCTCCATCACTCCAGGTCCCCTTCTTCCCACAATCCTGCTCCCTCGGGAAGCTCCAGCAGCGCCACCTCTGAGGCTTGGCTTATCAAGCTACCAGTCACCTCTGGTTTACGTCTGGAGCTTCTGTGGCATCTGCTCAGCTGCCTGCGGCGCTTCCCTGCTTCTCTTGGTGGGAGGCCCCTGTGGTGCCCGTTGGGATAGAATAGTGAAGGTGGACGGAGCTGTTGAGGTTTGGGGCTGGACTGGATTTTATCTGCACCTAAAACTGCCCTTCCCAGAAAATGAGTTAACATAGTTGCACTGGACTCCGTCTCATTTGCTGCTGTCCATCCCCTCCCCTCTGTGTCACATGGTTTGTTTGGGGGGGGGATGAGTGAACCCACAGGGTCCACTAGAAAAGCCCTGGGGGAGCTTTCTAGGATCTCTTTTTTGACTTGTATTTTAAATGGGGGTGGGGCCTCTTGGTCTGTTTGCGCTTGTGACCCAAAACCCCAACTCCCAAGGGTGGGCCCCCCAGGGTCGCAGCCTCTCTGCCTCTTACTGATCAAGCACCAGCGAGGTGATTTCCTTTCCAGACAGGCTAAGTCCTTGCCGGAGACGCACCTGGTGCTGACTCCCACTCACCATCTTGCCTGCCTCTGGAGGGAGGTATTTTCTCAGGCACGCCTGGATAAGCACCCATCACCACCACCTGCACTTCCTGCCTAGGCCCCCCAAGGCCTCTCAGTGCACCTGGAGGGCTCGCTGATGTGCGTTTGCTCCTGTGGGTTCCAGTGTACGGCCCATGCCCAGCTTTTCTCCCCTCTGACCTCTGGGCATGGCTGGCAGAGAGGGAGAGTCATTTCCAAGGGCCTTGTTCCCGTGGTAGGGTTCTCCATCCGGACAGCCCTGTTGACATGTGGAGTTCACCACTGTGTCACGAACTGTGTCCATTCTCCAGCCGACTCAGATGTCCCAGGTCTGAAGCCAGCTTCCATTTCTCAGCAGTCGGGAGGGCAAGGGT